TATATGTTATGCCTTTCTGTTGAAGAAGCGTAGTGAACGGCCGGAGCGACCTCCTCCAGGCCAGAGTGCTACCGGTTAAGTCTGTAAAGAAGGTAAGGGATATTGATTCAAAGGTGTACTGGGCGTGATTCCTTGCCGCCGCCATAGTTGCTGCTCTGTCATCCCTGCGCTGGAAGCGGATTATGGTATCTCTGGTAGCTGTTTTTGGGGCTTTGGCTGATTTAGGTACCCTGTAAACTCCGTCCAGACTTACTGCTTTTGCTTGACGTGATGGTAGTAGCGCCGAAAGAAGTCTTCGCACGAAGTGCGGTAGTTCCTCCGCCGGCATGTTATCAGGTATGCCCCGTATCTTTATGTTGGCGGTTCGGCGTGTGTCCTCCAGTGCGGCGAATCGCCGCTCAAAGGCCTCTGTTTTGCTTTGCAGGCCCCTTATCTCCTGTTACATGGAGGCAATTTGGGTCGTAGCGGTAGTGGACGTCTGTTCCAGGGTGCTCAGTCTCCCGGTTATGCCCTGGAGGTCCGCTCGGAGGCCCGCCATTTCTGCCTGGATCGTGGTCTGTAGGCCCGCCAGAAGCGTCTTAAGCACCGCTGTAGTAACAGGTGCATTGTCGGGGTCCTGGGGCTTGGGTGTTGTCACCGGTAGGCCGAGGGGTATGTGTGTGTCCTCCCCCTGGGAGAAGTCATCAGACAGGTCCGAATAAGTTTCTGGGTAGTCGGCCATCTTGGGCCCAGTTGCTCCCTGTGCCTGTCTCCACATAGCTCCGATGTCTAGGCCATGTCTCGGCTGGTCGGGCTTTTGTTTCTTACTTTTTCGTCCCATGTCGGTTCCCCTGCTGTAGCCTGGGGTTTTCAGCGGTTTTGGTTATTTTTTTTCAGAAAGATTAGCCGTTTTTAGAGATAAATTGCAGGAGCTGCTGTACCATGCGGCTTCTCTGCTCTGCAGCTTGACTCCGCCCACTCAACCTTCTTTTAAAGCATTCTCCCATGCAAGGGAGGGATTTACAATCATTAGTACAGTATCCAATCATACATGAGTAGCCGCCCACACATCTCCTCCCCTTAGCCTGACTCATAATCCCATTATGCAGGACACAAATTCCCTGGGTTTCTGGATGTACCCCTAAACATAGGGGTACCCCTTTAAATATTACATCCCCTGGTAGCCCTGATCTGGGTGAGTGACATATCCAAAAATCACCCAGATCGGACCAGGGGTTCGGGAGATTTGAGGAAGTAATAAAAAGACTGACCGCGCTGGAGGGAACAGACGAAATTGGTTCCATGCGTTTGGCCCTGAGGTCGGTCACCGAAAAAGGGAATAAACTGCACAAAAGACTTGTGCTATGGAGACTAGGGAGAGTTTGCAGAAATCCCCTTGTTCGGGTGTTTCTTTCTACCGAACGGGTGGCCGTTCGGTAGTTTCTATACAAATTTAAGGGCAGTGTGGAGGTCTCAGCGGTGTTTGCCTAGCCGAGTGTCCGATTTGAGTTCCAGACACTCAACGGCAAAACACCGCTGTTCAGGAGTTTAACATGACCGCCGCTACGTGTTCGTCTCCCGAATGGCAGCCACCCAGAGAACAAAGAATCCACTACACGAATTGCCAATTACCCGTTCGCAACATTGTTGCAAACGGTAATTGGAGGCACATTTACTACTGGGGTGGTCTGACTGTTCGGTAGTTTCACTCTCATAATAACTGGAGTGATTCTACCAAACAATCAGCTTTTGACAGTGCCATGAAAGGGAAGGGGCATAATCATTATCACATAAAGCCAGGATTAATAGCATTTTCACAACTATGGTGTCAGGAATACATGTTTGTATTCCTGACACTATAGTGTTCCTTTAAGCAAATTAAAGGAACATTCTGGTCACCATAACAACTTCATCTAAATGAAAATGCTATGATGCCAGGAAGCCCCTGGGTGCTCTCTTTCCTTTAAGGGGTTAAACCGCTCTCAAATGGTTTAACCACAAAGGCTTCCTCCAGCTCCAGGTCGCTCAGTGGTATTCGGCTTCTGAAACGGAGTGACAGGAAGTGCAGACTGACGTCAGGCATAGGTGCTGCAGATTGGCTAGAGTGGTCAATTGACGCTCTAAGCCAATCGCTAGTTCGCGGTTCATAAAAATGTTTTACTTTTTTATGCATGGGGAGATACTGATTGGCTTAGAGTGCCAGCTGACCGCTCGAGCCAATCAGCGACACCCCTACTCTGTGCTTCCTGACACCCAGTAAATAAAAGTGAACACATTAACACTGATATTTATTTTTACCTGGGGAGATGAGAAGGTCCCAAGTTTCCCTGCCAGGCCCAGGTACCAAAGCCTTATGATGTGGTGTCCAGAATAAAGTGGAGGGTTCACTTCAGTTGTTCTTCCTGCTTCAATCTCATTTTCTTCTTCTTCATTTGACACAGTCTTTTCTCCTCCTTGGCTCCTTCTGCTCCTTTACCTTTCTGCTTATTTTGCTCCCCTTTCTGCTCCTTTTTCTTTCTGATCCCTTTCTGCTCCTTGCTATCCTTTTCAGCTCCTTCTCCTACTTTACCTTTGTGCTCCTTAGGATTCTTTATGCTTCTTTACCTTTGTGCTCCTTCTGTCCCTTTCTGCTCTTTGCAGACCCTTCCTTCTCTTTGCAGACCCTTTCTGCTCCTTGCAGACCTTTCCTGCTAATTTCTGCTCCTTCTCCTACTTTACCTTTGTGCTCCTTCTGTCCCTTCCTGCTCCTTGCTGACCCTTCCTTCTCCTTGCTGACCCTTCCTGCTCATTTCTGTCCCCCCTATGCCTCACTTCCCTGATCTATAGGCTGCCCCCCTATGCCTCACTTCCTTGATCTATAGACTGCCCCCCTATGCCTCACTTCCCTGATCTATAGGCTGCCCCCCCATGACTCACTTTCTGATCAATAGGCTGCCCCCCATGCCTCACTTTCTGATCTATAGGCTGACCACCATGCCTCACTTCCCTCACCTATAGGCTCTCCCCCCCCCGCATGCCTCACTTCCTTGATCTATAAGCTGGGATAAGATGTAGCTTCCTATCCCTGACTCTCTCCATACACAGCGCCACCTACTCGCCTGTATTGCACTGTAATTTAAAAAATCCAGGAGGGCAAGTGCCCCCCCTTACCCCCCCTCCCCCCCACGGACGCCCTTGTCAGGATGTCTTCCAGGATTCCATTATTGGAGGACGCCGGGACACAGTGTATTCTGAAGATCCTATTCTGGCTGGGGTTGTCCAGGCCTCTGCTCCACCAAGAGCTTCGAAGTGCTGCAGGGCATCGTAGGTCCTACCCCCCCCCACCTTGGACTGGCGGGGGTCATCCCGGTCCACCACGGCACTACTACAAACCTGGAACAACACACGCCCAGGTGGAAGGGCACAAGCAAGAGAAAAAAGCAACTCAACTTACCTAAAATGGCAGCTGCCTGCACTAAGACGGTTCCTGCAAACCACGCTGATCCCTCACACCACTGCGGCAGGCTGCCAGCACATTTGGATCAGCTCTGTGCAGCATTCTGGTGGCAGATGCTGGCTGATGGCGTCATAGTGGAGATACCACAGCGGCCTCCCCCTCAACAGTGACAACAGAGAGGTGGGCACCCCATGACCCGAGGCAGTCAGAACGCGATGGCTGCCTCACAGCATGGGGATACCCTGCCCTGGCTCTTTCCTGGCTCTCACCCCGGACTCACTCGTCAAGCCAAACGGGGGATGTAGGGAAGCAGCGCTTAACAATTAAAGTCCTTGTGTGGAGTCCAATGGAGCCAATATAAGGGAGAAAAATGGGACAGGAATACTAATATAGTGTAGTATGTCTATAACAGCAGAGGCAGAATATAAGGAAAAAATATATTGCACTCACACTTTTCTGGAGATCAAGATCAGCTCCAGATCACAGCGTATGGACGGTACAATCCCCGTCTGTGGATGTTAGGATGGTCCTGATTTCCTTTGGCATCGTATCCCTGTGCCAATAATCCACGTGGTGTATTCCAGATGATGCTCCAGTGATATATATAGGATATAAAAAAACAGGAATAGTGTTCTCTGTATTAATAAAACAAATAAAATAAAGAGAGAAATATACTCACAATGGATGAGCAAATAGGGATTGCTCAGTCCTTATCAGCATAGGTGGTTTGTCCCGCACCCGGGAATGTGAGATACAGCTTCTCCAATAAAAGATGTCCAATGAAGGTCCAGGGGTACAATGCAGATTAATTTTATTAAACAAATAAAAAGTAACACACTAACGAGTTTCACCTATACAGAAGGCTTTTTCAAAGTGTTACAGAGCAGGGGACCTTCACTCTTAAAGGAACACTATAGTCACCTAAATTACTTTAGCTAAATAAAGCAGTTTTAGTGTATAGATCATTCCCCTGCAATTTCACTGCTCAATTCACTGTCATTTAGGAGTTAAATCACTATGTTTCTGTTTATGCAGCCCTAGCCACACCTCCCCTGGCTATGATTGACAGAGCCTGCATGAAAACAAAAACGGGTTTCACTTTCAAACAGATGTCATTTACCTTAAATAATTGTATCTCAATCTCTAAATTGAACTTTAATCACATACAGGAGGCTCTTGCAGGGTCTAGCAAGCTATTAACATAGCAGGGGATAAGAAAATCTTAATTAAACAGAACTTGCAATAAAGAAAGCCTAAATAGGGCTCTCTTTACAGGAAGTGTTTATGGAAGGCTGTGCAAGTCACATGCAGGGAGGTGTGACTAGGGTTCATAAACAAAGGGATTTAACTCCTAAATGGCAGAGGATTGAGCAGTGAGGCTGCAGGGGCATGTTCTATACACCAAAACTGCTTCATTAAGCTAAAGTTGTTCAGGTGACTATAGTGTCCCTTTAAATACCTAAGAAATAATAAAAAAATAAAAAATAAAGGTCAGATGAGGTCACTGATCATGTGACCTGAACATTAACTTTAAAACATAAAATAAAACCAAATAAGCAAGTAAAGATAAAAGAGAGTTTAAAAACAACATAGTATGTGTAAATGTATTAGGAATAATAAGTATCCACAAGAAGAATAGTAAATACAGAGGAGTTCACTTTCAAAGGGGTTCCAAGATGGCCGCCGGGTGTACCAAGATGGCCACCGCGAGTTGGGATAAAAAAGAATTACAAATAATGTACTTAAACTTGAGTCTAGATAGAATAGGGAAGGAGGAGGACTCAACAAAAACAAAACCCTTTTAAAGGGTACACAAGTGCCCAAAACCTAATCCTTTTTTTCCCCTTTATTTATAAAAAATTTAACAAATCAAAATCAACAATAAGCCCTTTAGGGGCCATGGTATCAAGTGTAAAAACTCAGCTCATTTCAGTTCTCCCTAACAGTGGCAAACTGGTGCACATACTGCGGTCGCAGCTGCAACCGGGATCGGCCCACCAGGTATGTACGCCAGTTTGCGAGCCTCTTCTCCTGGGGGGCCCAGGACCTCAGGGCCCCCCATGGCTGGCAGTGCTGTCACCGGGCGCGCGGGAGCAATCTCCCCTGAGTTTCTCTGAAACTGCTATGTTTATAGAAGAAAGGGTTAATCCTAGCTGGACCTGGCACCCAGACCACTTCATTAAATTTAAGTGGTCTGGGTGTCTATAGTGGTCTTTAAAGTTTTACTTTGGCACATTGCTACCAAAGGTTTGTCTACCCCTGCTTTAGTGAAAAACCCTGTTGTCAGTAATCAAAAACTTCTAAACTTCTAATGGTAGTGCTTTCTAATTTTTTTTGTGCCTGTATATGTATTATTTTCTCTGTAATCACCGTTTTTAAATCATTTTAATTTTCTGTACATCACTCTTAATAGGGATGACAAGAAATGTTAAATAAATAGATGTGGCCAATATACAGTATATGTTATACTGTTTGTTTACCACTAGATGGCAATGATTCCATTTAGTTACTCTGGCCTTAAATTTGAAATTCACTTTGAATTCTCACTTAAAGGGAAACTCCAGGCAGCCCTTTTTACTCACCTTGTTCCAGCGCTGGGAGCCTCGTGAAGCCGCGCCCCCTATTTCGTCAAAAATAGGCTCAGCTCACGGTCTTTGCCTGCCCCCTCTCCTCTGCTAACAGGCAGGAGAGAGAAGGCGTGCACACAGTGCCTTCTCTCTCCTGCACACGTCAGACGTATTTTAATACGGGCCATACATGATAGGAAGTCCCTCTGGTGGCCTTCTGAGTGATGACCACTGGAGGTATTCCTATCAATCAATGTAAACACTGTATTTTCTCTTTACATTAGGTTGCCTGCAGGGAGCTATAGATTTAACCTGAACAACTACATTAAGCTGTAGTTGTTCAGGTGACTATAGTGTCCCTTTAAGTAAATAACCCTGCTGATTCAGAGGCTGGCTTGGGATCCAATATCTGCCCATAACAACTGGATCATATTTCCCCCCATGTCTTCGCTAGTGACATCATGCCATTCAAATGGCAGACGTACTTTTCAAAAATTTAAATATCATGAAATATTTGTATATAAATACGTAATAAATTGACCCCCCCCCCAAAAAAAAAGCAAAAACAAGTGTACCTCATTTTTAAAAAGTAAGAATATGAGAATACATGAGTAGAACTCAAAAAATAAATCTGCTTTATAATAGAAAAAAATTTACATGGTAGTCCTAACATATTTAGCTAGAGCACCCCTGAACCACTTACTTGCAAGTGATGACACTGATCACATTATTTCATTACAATGTACATTATAAATTGGTAGAAATGTAATAAAACGAGTATAACAATCCATGAATTAACTAGAGAGCTACTTCTGCTACAATAAACCTTGTTTGAAAGATGGCAAATTCAACCTGGATCTTCAGGATACCTTGATTTCAGGCTCCTGTACCACTGTCCTGGATTAGTCCAGCTCGCTGTATGTAGTGGTTATGCTGCAAGGAGTGTCCTGGCATCCTCCCCAGGTGCAGGAGTCTTACTTGGGGTCTGCTGGAGTCTCTCTCGATCTCCACTCGTAAAGACCAAGAGATGGTGACTCCTAAGCAGAAGCTTCTGTTAGTTCTCCAGAGCTAAGCCTGGCAGCAAAGGGCTAGTTCACTGACTGAGCTAAGCCTTACAGAGAGCTTCTGGCTCTCTATTTTAAGCAGTAGAGGCGGAAAGTGGGGCTCATGGTACCCTTGGTAAAAAAACAAACTGTTCTAAAATGGTTTGAATCCTTACAATGGATGAGTGACAGGGCACTTCTGGCACCATAACGACTACAGTCTTTACGCCCTGCATGAAAGTTCTGAGTGTTCCCCATAGATCTGCACTGATTTAATGCATCATTATAAGGAGATGCTGATTGGCTCAGCGTTTTGCTGTGCATGCGCATTAGACTCAAGATGTTTTCCTATGGGAAAGCATTGGATTGGCTGAGATCATTAAGATCAAATCCCAAGACATGGCAAAGAATAGCTGTTGGCCATGTTTTATTCAGGAAAGATGGCCTCAGTTTAACCTGACTCTAGTCAGGGCAGAATATGAATTTTATTCAATGCTCTATATATATTATGTAATAAAATCCATGAATGCAGATGTATAAGTTGATTGGGAGATTTATACTGGAATAGCGGCAGTAGATGACCAGGGTTTCCAAATTTTCAGTGAAGACTTTACTAAAGTATATACTATGACCATGTTATCTTTTTTTTTTTTTTCAATTTAGAACAGTGATTCTAATATTTTGTTGGATTAACGAACACTTAGCTATTCCTTGCCATTTCTCAGGATTTGATATGTTGTGTATAAATGCTAGAGTAAGCAACTGATGTCACTGGAGCCGAATGTGCATGCGCTGAAAGTGCCACGTGTGCATTCAAAGTGTCCATAGGAATACTTTCCTATGGACGCTCTGGGCGACAGAGGTGAAACTCTCCGGAAGACAGCCACTAGAGGCTGGATTAACCCCAAAAGTAAACATAGCAGTTTCTCTGAAACTGTTATGTTTACATGTGAAGAGTTAAAACCTGAGGGACCTGGCACCCAGACCACTTCATTGAGCTGAAGTGTCTGGGTGACTATAGTGTCCCTTTAAATTTGAAATTCACTTTGAATTCTCGCTTTAGATAAAAACCCTGTTAGTCAAATCCATGAACATCATAGTGAATTGAAAAATAAATTGTGAAATACTTGTACAAAATGTATCTAAGCCAGGCTGTTCTCTATTACTATTCTGATTTTGTTTTGCCACCTCAGTTATATTTCCAAATCATCTATTGACCTAAAATGTGCAATTCTCTTGTTAATTTTCCATGATTCCCAGTTCAGTAAACACACCCACAGTGACAATAGTTAATACCCGGTTGTCCCTATGTTCTGACATAATTCATACACTGTGTTCCAGCCTGGCCTCTCCAGCTCTGCTCTCTGCCTTTCGATCTGCTCTGTGTTCGACAAGCAATTCCTGGCCTACCTTTCGGCGCTCGTCTCTCCGCCCTGTCGCCTGGCAGCTGCCCCGGAAGTTGTCGCCGGGGCCGGTTCAGCTCCGGTGAAGTCTCCGCCGCACACCGTGGGGCCCTTTGGCGGGGCAGGACAGACCCGGCACCTGGGGAGGGCAGCAGGACGGCCGGGTGTGGATGAGGCTCCTAGCGGGGGAGCCGCAGCAGCAGGTGAGGGAGAGGGTGGTACCCCCCGGGCGGGCAGCAGCACGGCCTCTGGATACCGGGTCAGGTAACCCCCATCCCTGGACCATAACACATCATCCTCCAATATGGCCGGCCAGCCTGACTGCCAATTACACACAGCCATCCCAATACCAAACATGTCTGTCCATGTACTGCCATTACATTACACATCTATTGTACAGCAGATAAGTTTCCACTCATTCTGTAAGGCTCACAGTGGGCTATTGACTTACAAACTGTAATAATTGTCATTATGTGGTGCATGTTCAAGTATATTTGGTGGGTTTCAACATAAATATTTAAGTTGCTTTAACTAAATTTTTAAATATAATTGATAATACTGCATTATAACAGTCTTCGTGCATCAGCGCATTCTAGCTGCCCCGGTGCATCAGCGCATTCTAGCTGCCCGGTGCATCAGCGCATTCTAGCTGCCCCGGTGCATCAGCGCATTCTAGCTGCCCCGGTGCATCAGCGCATTCTAGCTGCCCCGGTGCATCAGCGCATTCTAGCTGCCCCGGTCCATCAGCGCATTCTAGCTGCCCCGGTGCATCAGCGCATTCTAGCTGCCCCGGTGCATCAGCGCATTCTAGCTGCCCCGGTGCATCAGCGCATTCTAGCTGCCCCGGTGCATCAGCGCATTCTAGCTGCCCCGGTGCATCAGCGCATTCTAGCTGCCCCGGTGCATCAGCACATTCTAGCTGCCCCGGTGCATTATAGCAGTCCTAGTGCATCAGCGCATTATAGCAGTCCTAGTGCATCAGCGCATTATAGCTGCTCCGGCGCACCAGCGCATTATAGCTGCACCCGCGCATTATAGCTGCACCAGCGCATTGTGGCTACCCCCGGCGCGCCAGCGCATTGTGGCTACCCCCGGCGCGCCAGCGCATTGTGGCTACCCCCGGCGCGCCAGCGCATTGTGGCTGCTCGGCGCATTATAGCTGCCCGACGCATCAGCGCATTACAGCTGCCCGGCGCATCAGCGGCCCTCGCGCACCGGCGAATTACAGCTGTCTTTTAGGAGGTGCCGATTTACAACACTAATAATGTGCCTTTTTGGAGTTTAAGAGGGCTGCTGATGGGAGATAAATACCCGGAGCCTAGTCCAATGTCCTCTGTAGTCCAGTCAGCCTTTTATGATTGACAGCAGACCTGCAGGAACAGTTATAGAGGGTGTAAAACTCAGTTCTCTCCTAGCTCCTCCAGTGCCATTTTCCATCTGCCCACTAACATCCTCTCACACAGGAAGGAGGAGCAGGGACAGCACTGAGCGGTTCACACAATATAACAGCTACTGCAATTCTACTATAACTCTACTATCAATCATTGAAGTGTGTGTACTTTGCACATAACCCTTTAAACTCCACATGTCTGTATCCTAAACACCCCATGTTCCCTAACCCTAAATTAAACTCCTCCCAAAACTTTTACAAACTCTTAACTTGGCCAAATATTTAGCAATTAAAAGCCTTAGATATTTCTTTTAAGTCAGTTGTAGAAGGGGGGCATGGGTTATAGTGTATAGCCAAATATTATCTGTCAGGGCTCCAATTCAAAGTAAGTAAGTTTATAGTGTGGATTGAGTTGTATCTAAAAGTAGACAATGGACCATCTATCCTTTTTATTCCCCTTCCTTTTTTGGGGGGGGATGTAAGGTTATTTTGCAGAATTGGGAAAGAGAGACCCAATTACCTCAGGTTACCCAATTAAATAATAGACCAGGGGATCTCTGACCCACAACCCCCATTTGATATGAGACCTACACCCACTTAACAAAAAGTGTGTACTGCACAAACACCTATGTGTGTGTATATAGGTAGAGTAATTAATATATATATATAATATATATATATGTGTATATGTGATTAAACAAACAGTGATTAAAAGATACAGTTATTAAAGAATTACCTTTACAACAACCAGGGCTGTTTTCTGTTTTTAGCCCAAGGCAAACTAATCATTTGCCTTGGGAGACACTATTTAGGGGACGGCAACAAATTCCGTCCCAAATGCCCGTTTGGACTTCCCTGGTGTCCTCACCTGTTATGAGGATCCATAAACTGATGCATGGGATAGCCTTCCAGCGGGAGTGGTAGAAGTTAACACAGTGAAGGAGTTTAAGCATGCGTGGGATAGGCATAAGGTTATTCTAGATATAAGATAAGGCCAGGGACTAATGAATGTATTTAGAAAATTCTTATCTGCCATCACATTCTATGTTTCTATGTTCGTGTAAGTGTGTGTCTGTCAGTAAACATATGTGTTGGTTAAATAGTGTGTGAGATAATGACTGTATATCAGTGAGTGCCCTAGTGCATCAGCGCATTATAGCCGTCCTTTTTGGATCCATTATTACCAGCTGTCATATATGGTGGAAAAGCACCAACGTTTAAACTTTAAACTCACAAAAAGTTAATTACATTGTAAATTATTCAGTTTTGCTATTTTCCAAGCATGATTCTTTTAACTAACCTCAAAATCTGTCTGCAATCATTACTTAGTGATCTTAAAGGACCACACTAGACACCCAGACCACTTCAGCTTAATGAAGTGGTCTGGGTGCCTGGTCCTTCTAGGGTTAACCCATTTTTTAATAAACATAGCAGTTTCAGAGAAGCTGCTATGTTTATGAATGGGTTAAGCCTTCCCCTATTTCCTCTAGTGGCTGTCTCATTGACAGCCACTAGAGGCGCTTGCGTGCTTCTCACTGTGATTTTCACAGTGAGAGCACGCCAGCGTCCATAGGAAGGCATTGTAAATGCTTTCCTATGCGACCGGCTGAATGCGCGCGCATTCAGCCGCGCGGCGCATTCAGCCGACGGGGAGGAGAGAGGAGGAAGGAGGAGAGCTCTCCGCCCAGCGCTGGAAAAAGGTAAGTTTTTACCCCTTTCCCCTTCCAGAGCCGGGCGGGAGGGGGTCCCTGAGGGTGGGGGCACCCTCAGGGCACTATAGTGCCAGGAAAACGAGTATGTTTTCCTGGCACTATAGTGGTCCTTTAATAGATGCACTCTTTATTTGGGTATGTCTCTAGAAAATGTAAAATTTGCCATACAAAGAGATGTGATAACCAGGAATATAGTAACCACACACACTATATGTGGATAGTGTAAATATCAGAAGTGAGTCTTGCATTGATAATGAGTTTAATGAAAAATTCTCATATAGACACTGTAGAGTTAAAATAGTAATCTCACTGAGCTACATTTATTGATAGTTCCTGTGATGTAATTATTTGTATGGCAAATTCAGCTGCTGTACAGATGTGAGAGTTGAATACACTTACAAAGTCTCAGCAAAATGCAGTGGTTGAGAATCTCAACACATGAGTGGAGTGAAACAAATATCTTACCTTGTGTGTGAATACTTAAGGGTGAAGGTCCCCTACTCTGTAACACTTTGAAAAGCCTTCTGTATAGGTGAAACGCGTTAGTGTTACTTTTTATTTGTTTATTTGCGACTATAGTGTTCCTTTAAGGGGGAATCTTGTGCCTCATTGCTAACTTTAAAAATATATATTTATATCTTTAATATTATTTAAATAGTACTAAACAACATCAAAAAGCCACATTAGGTTGTTTTCTATCGAACCCAGTCTGTGCATCTGTACATTTTATAATCTGGAGAGCGCTTTATGAGATACCAGCATTGCAGTAGCAAAATATGTACCTCATAAAAAAAATGTAAAAATATTCTAACACTGCTTCTATACTATTTTCTACCATTCTCAGCAACACACAGCAATTAGAATAAGGACATTGTCTGACTGTTAGCACTTCCTTTGGGATCTTCTTGTACAGCATTAGACAAACATGTGGGGCTTTACTTGTAGGGATGTATTAATACATAGATCAGTAATTTTTACTATTAAGATATACCAAGAACAGTCTGTTTCATGTATTTCTCTGCTGTACCAGCTTCATTCTTGAAGGGTTGATTAAAGGGACACTATAGTCACCTGAACAACTTTAGCTTAATGAAGCAGTTTTGGTGTATAGAACATGCCCCTGCAGCCTCACTGCTCAATCCTCTGCCATTTAGGAGTTAAATCCCTTTGTTTATGAACCCTAGTCACACCTCCCTGCATGTGACTTGCACAGCCTTCCATAAACACTTCCTGTAAAGAGAGCCCTATTTAGGTTTTCTTTATTGCAAGTTCTGTTTAATTAAGATTTTCTTATCCCCTGCTATGTTAATAGCTTGCTAGACCCTGCAAGAGCCTCCTGTATGTGATTAAAGTTCAATTTAGAGATTGAGATACAATTATTTAAGGTAAATTACATCTGTTTGAAAGTGAAACCAGTTTGTTTTTTATGCAGGCTCTGTCAATCATAGCCAGGGGAGGTGTGGCTAGGGCTGCATAAACAGAAACAAAGTGATTTAACTCCTAAATGACAGTGAATTGAGCAGTGAAATTGCAGGGGAATGATCTATACACTAAAACTGCTTTATTTAGCTAAAGTAATTTAGGTGACTGTAGTGTTCCATTAAGATTTGTAAATGGATTTGTGGTATAGAAAAGGGGGGGGGGGGGAAAGGCAAGTATTTGTGTTTTTTAATTTAACTCAAATAGATTGTCAACCTAGACATTTTTCATCATGTTTTGTTTAGAAATTCCAGCCAAGTAGCCTATAGATCTTTAAAGCAGCAATGCCAATGTCTTTAGGTTTTTCAAATTTTCGCTGCTGCAATGTTTCTTTAGCTCCTTGTGGTTATACCTGTTAGGAGCCACGCCAGTGATGTAATCTTGGAAGGTCTTCTTCACATGTGCAGTAAGGCACCTGGAGCTCTTTGCATGGGATAGTGCATGCTCCATTCAGGCCTCGCTCGTAGTGGCAATGGCTGGATGTCGCGGAATGAGCCCTGGCCTTCGATTGCCACATTTTGCTAAAAAAGTGTTTTCTACGTGACCTAGATATTTAGTTTCCTATATTTCTTTTGATTGGATTGGAATTTCAAAGTAAGAGTTATTCATAAAAAATCTAGCTTTATGAATGACTCAAAAGTGACCATGGAAGATGTACAGCAGAGATGCCCAAAAGGAAGATCCTCAGATGTTGTAGAACTACAACTCCTTAATAATGCTTTTTGAGTGACAAAGCATCATGGGAGTTGGAGTTTTAAAACATCTGGATATCTTCCTTCTGAACACCCCTGATTTACAGAGTTATTCACAAAAGTGAGAATTCAAAGTGAATTTTAAATTTAAAGACAGAGTAGGCGACCTGAAAGCATAGCTGACTTAGAGAATTTTTCAGTGTTGGTGCCTGTGCAAGGATTGCCAATGTAATATTAAGTAGAATTAAAAAGGGAGGGAGAGAATGATGTGTGTAGGAAGAGAGTTGGAGAGAAGATGGGGGAAAAAAAAGGGGAAGGGGGGCATTTGCCCGAACCAAGCCCGGATCCTGGTCATCTGTGTACCTGGTTACATTATAAGGAGTTTTGTACCACTATATGAGAAGTTTAAAACTTGATTCCTGAAATTCCTGGTGTAAATATGTCAGACCATTCTTCCTGTGTAAATGAATGTTTCAGATCACATTCCCAATATTTAGTGCAGTACAAAAGAGATGTGTCTTGTGAAGGGGAGTTCAGATCCGCGTGAAGGTGTGGATTTGTTCGAAAGCATAGTGATTCAAAGTAAGTTGAAGGGCAAATGGATGCCGGCAGTCCTGATGAAACAAACCAGTAGTTGAGGGGGTTGGTGGATATTCAGTTCAGCCAGTGTGCTAAAAAAAAGGCTATTCCAAGGCAAATGTGTTATGGGAGGCCCAGTGAAAAATATGAATTGTTTGCCTGTGGCTGGAGGGATCTGGAAGTTCCAGGTGATGGCCAAGATAGGTAGTCGATTGGATTTTAATTTGAAGAACTGTGTGCTTGCATTGATTTTATTTCTTCACGTAAAGGAATGTCATTCCTACAACATCATTAACCCCTTAAGGGCACGTGACATGTCATGATTCCCTTTTATTCCAGAAGTTTGGTCCTTAAGGGGTTAAAGGGACATTTCACACACCTAAAGTACTTTAACAACAACAAGATTACAGCAGCCCCTCTGGACCCCATGGAAAGCATCCAATTAAGCTCTCCCAATGCATCTCTTCGGGGACTATTCTGTGCCTCTGTGCGGAGTGTGGAAACACTGAATGTAGGTGCTGCCCACTGTGACTAGGAAGCACCTCTATTGGCTGTCTCAGTGACTGTCACAAGAAGTGTTACTGGGAAGTAATGAAAATGAGTGTTTACATTGAAAAGCTTGCAGAGAGAGACTATAGACACCAGAAGCTGTAGCGATTCTATTGATTATAGTGTCCTTTTGAGAAGTCAATTTTTGTTGTTGAAAATAAAGCTTTGTAAGTTTAAAAAACAAAACAAAAAAAACAACCAAACCGAACTCCTAACTTATATAGCTGGCTCATAGATTCAAATATATATCTATATCTTATCTGTAAATCCTGTAACCATTATCCTAACCCTTAGTCACCCATAGCCCTGTTGGCAGAATGTTTTGCTAGCTGAAATTTGCATATTGTTTATTTTTCACACATTCCAGTTTAGTGAATAAATAATGGACGGACCTTGCATCCTATGAGCTGTGAATTTAAAATCACATTTTAAATAGCTAAAGTTTCATGTTGTGAAAGAAACTGAATATGAATAATCCAGCAGAATGATGGGCTTGTTCCTCCAAAGAAGAGTCGCACTCCTTTCTGAGTAGATAGCCTCTGTCACATTCTCCTTCTGAACTCTCTAGATATGAATCCTGTCTGTGTTCTGACCTTGCATGCTTTGAGAATTGTATAGCTCCACTGACTCCCTCCGCCACTGCCTGCCTTATGAAGGCAATAATGTCTGTGTGGTTAGACACCAAAGGTTGACTCATGCAGCCAAACTGATGCAAGTTATTCACAACTTCTTGCCTTCAGCCTCCAACTCATCACAAACGTCACCACGGGTAGGTCTAGGTCTCCTGTCTGCGGAAGTACTTCTCTCTTGGCCAATGATGTATGCATCATGAAAGGGAAATTTCCACTTTAGATATATCAGAGAAGACAGCCCACACTGCTTGAATCCCAGGAGGTACAAGTAATCCTCTTACCATTTTAAAATTGTTTGACTCATTACTATGGTATGGCGTCAGGGAACACCTGTCACCATAGCCACTACATGGCTATGGAGATATTAAACAATTAGTTTCATTGGAGATATTCAATCATTGGAGATATTAAACAATTAGTTGTGAAATATATTTATACATATACTTTCTTAGTGTATGGAGTAATAATAATGTATTAACATCTTATATTAGTCAGTATTAAGCACCTCTCAAAGTAAAATCATTATCACTATGGTAACCATTATTTAAGTATCACAAGATGAACAAATATATGGAAAATGTTTCATGCAGTCCTTCCTGTCATGTAATCAAAATTGGATACAGTTTTGTTGAAAATCTGCACATTTTTTCCAGTACGGTTTATAATGTAACCTTTTTGCACTTTGATATCATGGATATTCTTCTGTGTTCTAGGCAAGAGTTTATTTTTTTATTAATCAAGTAGTTTTATTAATTTGGTTGCAATCACTCAGAATCACTCTAGTCATAACGTCGCATCAATTGACAAAAAGCCAGCAGGTTGCACTCCACAGTTTCATACTTCAAGAGTGCTTACTCATAAGCAAGTGTCTCTCTTCTCATGAAGATCCAAACATATTAAAGGGTTACTTCAAGCACCATGACAACGTCAGTGTTTTGCATTGGCCGTGGTACTTGGAGTCTGCACGTTTATCCCCTCTGCATCTCCAGCATCATTATTGGGTCGTCATTAGGCAGACCAGTACTGGCTGCCTCAGGTTAAGGTGCTAACTATAATGAAAAGCTGAAGAGGGCAGCAGTAAGTCTCACAGAGATTCATATGGGAAATAGAAGTCTTCATATACAGAATGCTGTTTCTTTTAAAGACTAAAACAAATAGAAAAAGCATAGATTATATCAGGGCAGAGAAAAGTAATTAATGCCCAAAACACACCCTTTTTAGAGCCAATGAAACCTCTACCAAAAACAGAATAGACTCTATAACCCCCATCTGAGGATGTAGTCACTTTGGAGAAATCCCTAGGGTGAAACCCGTTAAGTGTAGACCATTGGATTTTATCTACAGTTTTGTAAGTTCACTTTTAAGTTTCTGATTTTTATAATAAAGGTAGCTTTCTTTTATTATCCTCTTTGAATTTCTTTGAAATTTTATTTTAAATTCTTTATTTATACAGTTGGGGTTTTTTCTTTTTGTTTACAAAGCAATGACCTATCACACGTTTGTTAAAAAAGAAAATTGGAAGCATTAGGAACTGTATGACAGTTGTTCCAATCACTTTGCCAAGAATATAAAAAGAAACGTATAACATAAACTTAAGTAAACAGTAACAATGCAAGTTGACAAATTTTGCATGGTATAATCTTGCATATAGTTTATAAGCAACAACCACAGTTCTGATTTTAGCTTGACGAAAAGCAAATGAGGATTCCGTGATTCTCTCCATGTGATTCTTACAGTGGTCTGTAACCTATATATTCCCAAATGAGCGGGTAAATAGGGCAAGCTTTCGTTTATGGCTTCCATCTGACAGAAGAGTAATTGGAGTATACATGTAACCACACTCAGTCCATAGAGCAGTACACTGCCTCTTTGGATTTGTTTTATTGGCTTGGCTGTTTTATCCTGCTTCACTGTTATCCGTAGTGGTGGTCAAACTGCTAAATTCCATGCTATGGAATCTGTAAGTGGGATACTTCTGTTCATATGTAACATGTTGAAATTACATACTGTACCATTGGAATTTTCTCTTTTTTCCCCCCCATTCTTTTCTTTATATGTCTTACATTCACATTTTGGCTGAGCTTCAACATATTGGAGGTCTATTGCCTTTGGCTAGGCTACATACGTCATACGTCCCTCCCCTTAGTTCATTGTTTTTTTGTTTTTGTTTTTTAGTAATTTGCTGAGATCGTAGTAATCAAGGCTACATTTCATCTCCAATTGCAATATTTGCTTTATTTACCTCAAATTTTAAAAGGTTAGTTTACTTTATTTATAGAGAGGTCTTTTAGACTTACGATCTACATATGATTCTATTATAGGGAATTATTTGCTAATCATCTATTTTACAGTTATCTCCTACCTCTTTATTTCCTCTCTTCTTTCTTATACAGTGTTCTTTAAAGGCACATTATAGTCATCAGAACTACTGCAGCTTAAAGGGACACTATAGAACTCATTGAAGTGGTCTGGCTGCACTGTCCCAGGTCTTGTAACCCTGCAAAAATAATTATTGCAGTTTTTAAGACTCTGGGTTCAGGGTTAACTCCACTTCTAGTGGCTGTCTATCAGACTACACATGATGACTCCAATGTCACCAGAATCCTCATAGGAAAGCATTGATGGGAGGGGGTAGCTCTAGTGTCAGGAAAACACTATAGTTTCTCTTTAATGTAGTAGTAATCGTATCTATAGCAAGTTCCTTTGGGCATTTTCATGTAAATACTGCCTTTTCTTAGAAAAGGCAGGGGTGGCTAGAAAATCTTTACTTCAACCAACCCCATCTTCTCTCTATTTGGGGTGGAGGGTTCTTAGTTTGGTCTTAGTTTGATATTTTTTTATATATATATTTTTTTTTCTGTCAGCCCTCTATTACTTGTTTTTGTGCATTTTTAGACATTTATGTATTGTGATCTCTTTCCATAAGTTATTGTGGGCCTCCAAGCCACATTTATGGTTCTTTATTGTGTTTTGTCATTTCATTTACTGTACCTTTAAAACAACAAAATGTAATTTATCGTAAACTATTCATATATCATGCTATATTTGATTCCACTGGAAAAAAAATGTGGGGGGGGAATATCCACCATTGTTAGTTTTGTATTTTAATCTGTCACTGCACAGGAAATTGAGCTGTTCCACTTGCTTAGTGTATGTTCAAAAGCAAGCCTGACAAATTTAGGCTAACAAATATATAGCCTTCAAACCAATCTACACAAAGTGTGACTTGCTCCACCTGACAATCAATTCTGACGCCATAGCTCAGGGATAGGCAACCTTCGGCACTCCAGATGTTGTGGACTACATCCCCCTAAATGCTCTTACACCCATAATGCTGGCAAAGCATCATGGGAGGTGTAGTCCAAAACATCTGCAGTGCCGAAGGTTGCCTATGCCTGCCATAGCTCATTTGTAGAAAATGGATTGGCAGAGCAGGAGAACCTTGCTACCTGCAGTTTTTCTACAAAGCTTCACAGCAACTACATAACGTTGCCTGAGTAATAAGAAACGGGGTACATGCATCATTCTTGTGAAACGAGATTGGGCTTGCTAAACAGTCAATCAAGTATGAGGCAGGAGGGAATGTGAATAAGACATCTGGTGTTAAATCTACTGTCAATATCATGGCACTGGAGAAGGGGTAAGTATTGTATTAAAACACCTAAAGCAGTGAAATGTATAGTTTATAATGAACTATATTGTGTTGCTTTTGGATGCATTTCCTTAAAGATTAACATGATATATTCACTTTAAAACACTTGGCAAATATTTCATTTTGCAGATATGTCTTTTGATCAAGCAGAACTTTCTATATAAAATATAATTTCTACGGATGTATTTAAAGGGATACACAAAGCATCAGAACACCTTTTGATTAATAATGCAGTGTATAGCTTATGCCCTTGCATACTCACTACTCTGCCATTTAGAAGTAGAATCACTTTGCTTATCAAGAAGGAGGCTACTTGTAGTCTCTAGCAGATATTGGCAGAGCAGGAGATAATACATTAATAATACAGTAATATTATCATTATATAATACAATTATACAGCTGCTTATTGAATCAGTGTTTTTTTTTTCCAATTCTCTGAACTTCAGTGCAATAAGAGGCACCAGAGTTATAAACATATTGGCACAAATGTTGCTCCATTTTAGAAACTTTGTGACTTGCATGGAACTCATTGCCTTGTTTGCATGAAGCATAGTGAGATTTAAAGGGAGACTTCTCTGAAAGAATGGGAAAAAATATGAAATCACTGTTAAGTGAATATATATCCCCAATGAGTACATGCATATATTTTCAAAACTTACCAAAGCTGCAGTTCTTAGCAAGCCCACTGTTTGACAGCCAGGGTTTTTTCTATAGCTTATTTATAAAAGGACCGATTTCTTGCTGAAATTGGCACTTTTACAAACTGTGGTTAAAATAGCACATTGAAGGGCTTTTGGGGTGTGAAGTGGTAATTTAAATATCTGCTTTCAGAATAATTTAACTTCCTAAAGAGAATTAAAAACTGTATTAATGAGAAATGTGTTTAATTGTTGCATATATTGGAAACATGAGAACAATCTCTCATAAAGCACAGGAACACATCATGGCCTTTTCTCTGCAGTTGTCTTTAGGATTATCAGTGCAGACAGAAATTATTTATGTTCATGATAGACTACCTTTCCTAACAAAAAGTGATGGGTTTCTAGAAATGATTTACTCTTATTTGATATTTTAAAATTGGTGTTCTCCAGAAACCATGGCAGTGCCTTAATGAAGTGATGATAAATGACATAAGGAGTATGGCATATAATTATGGAAGGAGTGTATCAACTTTGTGTTTGACTTGTGGCTGCTGGGCAGGAGAGGGTTAAGACCTGTTTGAATAATGATCACATGTAATGCTTGAGGCAGTGTTTCAACAGGGAACTGTTCAGATTGTCCTAGCTAGGTAATAATTTCTAAGAACAAGGGATTATTATTTTCATGGAAGATGTCTTCCAAAATTATATTAAAAAAGAACATTTTATTTTATGCATCCACGTATGTATATTCCCCATATTTCTTATTAAATGTTTTAACCTGGTCATTTACATATATCAGAGTTCCAACTTGCTCAATCAAAGTAGCATTGGCAAGTAGAATATTTTCATTCTGAAAACTCTTATAGATATAATTTAATCTGTACCACTAATGGACGCCTTTTCATTTTTTTTTTTTTTTTTTATTGAATGCATAAATTTATACCTGTTCCAAATTACCAACCTTATGCTGTCACATCTAACTTGTAGATTGTACATGGCTTGTTTATTATGACAAAGGTTATTTTTTTCATTTAAAAAGTGCCAGCTCATTGTGGAGTTTTTGTATGATAGATAGGTATAACATAGAAGTAAAAAACTGTAAATTTCTTAACCAAGCTTGAACATTTTTAAAGCGATCTCTGAATTATTAAGATAACTTGCCTTTTTTTCCCCACCCCACAACTGCCAATCTGCCCCAGTTCATTAAGGGTACCTTTAGCAAATGTATTATCATTGACATTAATGAAGGGGGAGTTGTGACAGGATGAAGTAGTAAGTTGAAGGGGGACTAGTGGAATGAGATTGAGTAGATCGACTTCTTCAAAAGAGAAATCCGAGGAGGGGTAGCCGGAATATTGTAGTGAAAACAGAATTCCAATGCCATTCATCTTTTCTATATGCAGATATGAAACTGTGGCTAAGCATATCAAGGTAGTAGAAGCATGGTCAGAGGTTTACATAAATGACTTGGGAAACTAGAAATTAAAGGACAATGATTAGATGATTTTTTTTGTTTAGGCTGAGGTTTCAGTGTAAGTGTATGAGTTGAAGATAATGAATTTGTTAAAGACCATTAAGTAATATTAACTATTAATAATAATATCTCCAGCTACAAAATAGCAAAAGAGTTAATGAGAAGTAGGGGGAATAGAACTTATACGACAAGATATTGACTGTTTAAGGAAGGCAGAGAAAGTAAAATTAAATTGCATAAGTTCTTTGACTGAGGGGAGCAAAGTAGATTCTGCATATTAAATTGGGTAAATGAAAGCAGAAATATGATTTAGTAATAAAATAGAAAAGTAAGATTAAAGGGACACTCGTCACCAAAATACATTTTTGTGCATAAATCATGCCTCTGAAGTCTCACTGCTCAATTCACTGCCATTTAGGAGTTAAATTACTATTGTTTCTGTTTACTCAGCCCTAGCCACACCTCCCCTGGCCTTGACTGACAGCCTGCATGATAACAAAATGGCTTCATTTTCAATCAGATGTAACTTACTAAAAAATGTTTAATCTCCTGCTCTGTAAATTGAACTTTAAAGGGACACTATAGTCACCTGAACAACTTTAGCTTAATAAACTAGTTTTGGTGTATAGAACATGCCCCTGCAGCCTCACTGCTCAATCCTCTGCCATTTAGGAGTTAAATCCCTTTGTTTATGAACCCTAGTCACACCTCCCTGCATGTGACTTGCACAGCCTTCCATAAACACTTCCTGTAAAGAGAGCCCTATTTAGGCTTTCTTTATTGCAAGTTCTGTTTAATTAAGATTTTCTTATCCCCTGCTATGTTAATAGCTTGCTAGACCCTGCAAGAGCCTCCTGTATGTGATTAAAGTTCAATTTAGAGATTGAGATACAATTATTTAAGGTAAATTACATCTGTTTGAAAGTGAAACCAGTTTTTTTTTCATGCAGGCTCTGTCAATCATAGCCAGGGGAGGTGTGGCTAGGGCTGCATAAACAGAAACAAAGTGATTTAACTCCTAAATAACAGTGAATTGAGCAGTGAAATCGCAGGGGAATGATCTATACACTAAAACTGCTTTATTTAGCTAAAGTAATTTAGGTGACTATAGTGTTCCTTTAATTATGCAAGTGGTATGTGTTTGCTTTGTATGTCACTGCATATTTAGTAATAATTTCTGTTTTATTTTGCTGATCATTATTTGGAGTGCTGCTGTGATTATATGTATTTAACTACTATATGCCTCCCAGTTTACCCTCCTGCTCACTGGCTGCTCACTTTGGGCAGGGTTGTTCCTTTAATTACATACAAGAGGCTCCTGCACGCTATTAACAGAGCAGGAGATACATTGTAAATTAAACAGAATTAGCTATAAATGAAGAAATTTAAATTAGCTGACTCTCTACAGGAAGTCTTTAGGAAGGCTGTACAAGTCACATGCAGTGAGGTGTGACTAGGACTGCATAAACAAAGTGATTTACTCCTAAATGGCAGATAATTGCACAGTAAGACTGCAGTGGCATAATCTATAAATTTTCTAGGAAGTGAAGTGAAATGTAAATTTCATTTTTAAATTTTTTTTTTTTTTTTTTAAATACAGATTTCCAGAATAATAGCTGGGGTTATGGAGCTTTAATACCCCTTTAGCAAAAATAATTTATAAATGTGTTAACATTTACTAAAGACTGACCTTGTATGTTGTACTAAACCAAGTCTCTCTTACGATAGGATTGGTGACTGTAATTGTGTGTAAGCTAGTAAAATTAAAACTAGCACTGTGTTTATTTTATGTTGTAGAGAAGCAAGTTGAAGATGGAAATTGAGGACTACAATGGCCGCTCTTATATCTCTGGTATGTGTAGCCTCGTTTTAATTTTGTTTACACTTAAACTGACCCGTTCATGGTTCTAAGCACTGGATAGCTTATTTTTTTTTTATTTTTTTTTCCTGAAATGGAACTGCAACAGTCTTATATGGGAAATGTACTTTAATTATGAAAAAAATAATTTCTATTATTATTGAAGACCTACATATTGGTTATAGGACAGAAAGTCAGGCAGGTTAAAAATATAATACATTGTTCTCTGTGCAGTGAAATACACACACCGCTACCATTCGCCTTAACAGAAATGCTGGCTCTGCTCTCTCATACATGATCTTTTTTTTTCGTCGTTGCACTGTGGCTCCATGCTTCCCTTGATGCACATATGGCTCTAAACCTCAGATTGTATATCTTAAAACCGCTTGCAAAAGCTGCAAACCTTTTTCTTGGTTTTTGCAAGCCCTTCCCTTGTAACTCAGCCCAGATTTTCTGTAGCTGTCAAGTTACAGACTTCCCAATGCAGTTCAATGAGAAGTTTTTGCAAGGCAGGTGATCCTTTTTTCTTTTTTTGCTTTAATGCATGAAGTTGGCTCACTCCAAGTTAAAAGGGTAAGACGTGGGTCCCGTGCTCACTGTGCCTAGAGGGATATCCGCTAAACCTCACTGACGAGGGCCAAAGAAGGCTGAGGGTTGCTGTATCTCTTGTGCAGAGGGAACTTGCTGGCATTTCGGGTCTGGACTGCCCGTATGAGTGGGGACCAGTCTGATATGCTTCAGATATGTTCTCTCTGTAATGGCACAAATGAGCAACTATTGAGACCTGTGCAGGGATGTACCAAAGGGCAAGCTAGAGAGTCTCTCTAAGCTTTTGTCCGTTCTCAGAGTTCTCCTTTTTTTTTTTTTTTGATCTGAGCAATTGCTTGCTTCTTGAGGTTAACTTCACTGAACTAAACAATCAGAAAGCAACAGTACCGATTGTCTGACAGCCAGAGGTGTGTAACAAGTTTAATTTATAAAAGTGCCACTTTCTGTTAAAAATTGCACTTTCTGTAAAATATAAAAAAAAAAAAAGATACTCTTCACGCATTAAAGGATCACTATAGTGTCAGGAAAACAAAGTGGTGTTCCTGACACTACAGGGAGTGCAGAATTATTAGGCAAGTTGTATTTTTTAGGATTAATTTTATTATTGAACAACAACCATGTTCTCAATGAACCCAAAAAACTCATTAATATCAAAGCTGAATATTTTTGGAAGTAGTTTTTAGTTTGTTTTTAGTTTTAGCTATGTTAGGGGGATATCTGTGTGTGCAGGTGACTATTACTGTGCATAATTATTAGGCAACTTAACAAAAAACAAATATATACCCATTTCAATTATTTATTATTACCAGTGAAACCAATATAACATCTCAACATTCACAAATATACATTTCTGACATTCAAAAACAAAACAAAAACAAATCAGTGACCAATATAGCCACCTTTCTTTGCAAGGACACTCAAAAGCCTGCCATCCATGGATTCTGTCAGTGTTTTGATCTGTTCACCATCAACATTGCGTGCAGCAGCAACCACAGCCTCCCAGACACTGTTCAGAGAGGTGTACTGTTTTCCCTCCTTGTAAATCTCACATTTGATGATGGACCACAGGTTCTCAATGGGGTTCAGATCAGGTGAACAAGGAGGCCATGTCATTAGATTTTCTTCTTTTATACCCTTTCTTGCCAGCCACGCTGTGGAGTACTTGGACGCGTGTGATGGAGCATTGTCCTGCATGAAAATCATGTTTTTCTTGAAGGATGCAGACTTCTTCCTGTACCACTGCTTGAAGAAGGTGTCTTCCAGGAACTGGCAGTAGGACTGGGAGTTGAGCTTGACTCCATCCTCAACCCGAAAAGGCCCCACAAGCTCATCTTTGATGATACCAGCCCAAACCAGTACTCCACCTCCACCTTGCTGGCGTCTGAGTCGGACTGGAGCTCTCTGCCCTTTACCAATCCAGCCACGGGCCCATCCATCTGGCCCATCAAGACTCACTCTCATTTCATCAGTCCATAAAACCTTAGAAAAATCAGTCTTGAGATATTTCTTGGCCCAGTCTTGACGTTTCAGCTTGTGTGTCTTGTTCAGTGGTGGTCGTCTTTCAGCCTTTCTTACCTTGGCCATGTCTCTGAGTATTGCACACCTTGTGCTTTTGGGCACTCCAGTGATGTTGCAGCTCTGAAATATGGCCAAACTGGTGGCAAGTGGCATCGTGGCAGCTGCACGCTTGACTTTTCTCAGTTCATGGGCAGTTATTTTGCGCCTTGGTTTTTCCACACGCTTCTTGCGACCCTGTTGACTATTTTGAATGAAACGCTTGATTGTTCGATGATCACGCTTCAGAAGCTTTGCAATTTTAAGAGTGCTGCATCCCTCTGCAAGATATCTCACTATTTTTGACTTTTCTGAGCCTGTCAAGTCCTTCTTTTGACCCATTTTGCCAAAGGAAAGGAAGTTGCCTAATAATTATGCACACCTGATATAGGGTGTTGATGTCATTAGACCACACCCCTTCTCATTACAGAGATGCACATCACCTAATATGCTTAATTGGTAGTAGGCTTTCGAGCCTATACAGCTTGGAGTAAGACAACATGCATAAAGAGGATGATGTGGTCAAAATACTCATTTGCCTAATAATTCTGCACTCCCTGTATAGTGCCCCTCAGGGTCCCCCTCCCGAGGCGATGAAGGCGTTAAAACCCCTTCAGCCACTTACCTTATTCCAGCACCGGGCTCCCTCTACGCTGGTGACCTCTCCTCCCCCCTGTCGACGTCACAGGAGCTGCATGCGCGACAAGTGCCGCGCGCGCATTCAAAGTGTCCATAGGAAACAAAAAATTTGCATCCAGCGTCGCAGATGCGCTTCTAGTGGCTGTCAGGAAGACAGCCACTAGAGGCTGGATTAACCCCAAATGTAAACATAGCAGTTTTTCTTAAACTGCTATGTTTACAAATGAAGGGTTAAAACCTGAGGGACCTGGCACCCAGACCACTTCATTGACTTGAAGTGGTCTGGGTGACTATAGTGTCCCTTTAAGCACTTAAGCTTGAAGTGCTTTAGTTGTCTGGAGAGTCCCTTTAAATGTCCAGGATGCCAACCTTTGCCGACACAGTATGCAATCTAGGGTAGCCATTGTATCCCAGGAAATGAACCCTTTGCTTTGCATGTCAGCAATTGTATCCTGCTGTTGCGGTACATGCTAGGGACTGATGCCAAAGAACAGAATAGTCACAGTTTAGTCTAGTACTTGTGATATTCAGCACTGCATGAACATGGGAGAATCGGTGCAGGGGCAAAATATATTTGAATTTGAAGGAATCAAGGACAAATGAATGAAGCTTGAATATTGAATCAGTGAGAGAATCCATTGTTTTGCACTTCATTAGACATGTGGACAATCTGTACGCCATAGAAAAAGGTCCACATAAAGTCTCTGTTCAGTATAGAATCTGGCCAATCTGCTTTAATGTGATGGTGCATCTGTTTCATTGTACGTGTGCTATGTGTGCATTTATAGCTTTTTTTCCTTTTTTTCTTTTTTCTTCTTCTGCTTTTCATAAATGATCATTAAAACTACCTGTGGAATCTCTATATTGTGTTTTTACATGCCCCTCTAACTTTCTGCTCTGTAAGACTGTATCTCCAGTGCATTGGAGTTTATTTCATATTTCTGGTATCCTGCCACTTGATACACCACTCCCTGCCTGTCTAAACAAAATGTTTTCCTTGGCATTGTAGCTGGTGACTCTTCCTTGGAAAAGGATTTCTCAGAAGCTTTGATCAGACCCACTGTGAGTACACCAAATAGTCGCCATTCATCCCCGACCCGATCGCTGAGTGGTAAGTATATTGTCCTTCTAAAAACTTTTAGTATTGTTTAAAAAAATAAACAAAAAAAACTACTGAACATACATTGGACTTCTCTGATTATCAAGGCTGTGATTTTGAATTTGTCATTGGTGTTTTATGCCCTAAAGAAATTGAGCATGGTATTGTTGATCTCTTTGTCTGGATACGCACAAGTCTGTATATGCTATATAAAAATTGCAGCATGTTGCATTTTTAAAGAACTTTTACTTGGATTTTATTGCCTGCTTATGATTAATCCCTTCTTAAAACATGGAACCCGTTAACCTTGTTTTTGGATGCTGCACTGCTGACTTAAATTCATGAATGCAATGTTATTGAATATAGATGTTGTTATGACCACAAAAAATAAAACCAAGTATTTACTTATACAAAATGCAGTAACTATGTTGTTGTTTACTAACAAACTGTTTAATGTAGAATTCTAATGAAGCTAATTGGGTCTATTTAAAAAAAAAAAAAAAAAAAAGACAATACATATACATACTGTTTAGCCATAACATTAAAACCACCTGCCTAATATTGTGTAGGTCCCACTCATGCTGCCAAAGGCATGGACCCCCCAAGACCTCTGGATGTGTCCTGTGGTATCTGGCACTAGCAAGACATTATCAGCAGATCCTTTAAGTCCTGCAAATTGCGAGTTTGGATCTCCATGGGTTAGATTTCTTTTTTGTTCCAGCACATCCCACAGATACTCAATCCGTTTGAGATCTGGGGAATTTGGAGGCCAAGGCATTGCGAAAGGGTGCATTATCTGATGAAATAGGCCACTGTCATCCGGGAACACCATTGCCATAAAGAGTTGTGCGTGGTCTGTAACAATCTCTACATGTCAAAGTAACATCCATGAGAGTGCCAGGGCCCAAGGTTTCCCAGCAGAACATTGCCCACAGCGTGACACTGCGTCCACTGGGCTGCCTTCTTCCCATAGCGCATCTTTCCTTCATCTCTTCTCCAGGTAAATGATGCACATACACCCACCATCCACCTGATCTAAAAGAAATTGATTCAGACAACCTTCTTCCATTGTTCCATGGTTCAGTTCTGATGCTCACATATGAAAGTGCTTTTGGAGGTGGACATGGGTGATCATGTGTTTGCGGATATACAGCAAACTTCGATGCACCGTGTGTTCTGACACCTTTCTATCATGGCCAGCATTAAGATTTTGGAATTTGAGCAATAGTAGTTCTTATGTGTGATTGGACCAGATGGGTTATAGCCTTAGCTCCCCATGTGCCTCAATGAGCCTTGGGCCGCCTGGACCCTGACACCAGTATTCCTTCCTTGCATCACTTTTGGTAGGTACTAACAACTGCCTACTGGGAACAGCCCACAACACTTGCCATATTAGAGATACTCTGTCCCAGTCGCCTCGCCATCACAATTTAGCCCTTGCGAAGTCACTCAGATCACTGTAACCTGCAGAACTTCAGAAACCAAAAATCCATAGATGACCCATCGTTTTTATTTCAGTATCAATGGTTCAGTTTAAAATTATAAGCTGAACTTCCATCAAGACAATTACCAATAAAAACCACACACACACACACACACACACACACACACACACACAAATAGGTTATGTACTTACCCTCCACGAATGCTTGAACGCACCTTTTAGGCTCACTCTAGGTCCGAGGCCACGATCACCATGTGTTTCAAACCTCGCTGGCCACCTACTACCCAAGCCTTGCTGCAGTGTTACCACAACAACTGGGGAGCTATTTAAAGCAGCAAATCCCTTTATTAGAAATTGAAAGACTCCGTGATCTTTTCTTCAATCACCTCTGTAATTGGCCAACCAGTTGCCTCACTTTAATACAGGACTGCCTGGGGCTCCCCAGTTACACTGGCACATACTGTGAACATAAGGGTTGTTATGCCTGATAGAAGTTTGGGTCCCTTGCTCTGAATTCTGCTGGCAACATAAGGACTACCTCTGGAGGGCAGACCTAATGTAGAGCTGTCCAATGCTGGATAGAATATTACAAATAAAGTAAAGAGCTTACTTGTATGCCCTCACATATAGCCCCAATCAACAGTGTCATTTCAAATAAATGGCATATGGGCAAAAAAAGTATAAGGGGAAAAAAATTAATATTTAGGACTGAAAGCCATAAATTCAACCTAGTGTTGTGTAATTAAGAGTGCGCTATTCACAACACACTGTCCATTGTATATGGGAAAAGGCAATTGCAGAGGCCCTGCTATAAGAAGTTACTGTTACCATGAGTTGACAATTTATAACTATCAATTTAGTCATGCTTTAATATTACCATAGCCAGCTAATGACTATGTATGACTTAAATTGTTACACGTCCTAATCACCTGGTAGAGTTCTCCACTACTTTTCTAGGCTCCATGTTACCAAATCTTATACGACACGTGTAACTTTACCCTATATAAGCGCAATATCAACACCTCCGGCTTCGTAAATATAAATCAAATTATTCACACCATGGACAATGATCAGTCTCTCCATCCATCTAAAATGAGCCCCATTTTAAGGGAACTTTTCATGTGTTCTCACTGATCCTTGTGCGTGTTCTTTCTCTGAATGTCTTTACTTCATATATCACTACTAGCCTTGATCCAGTGAGTTCTTATTTCCACGTTTGCATTGATGCTTTCAGGAGTATTTAAAAGGAAGTTTTCAGTTTGAAGAGAAAAAAAGACAAACGCGGGAATGGTAGAATTTCCACTTGTATGCAATGTGAAGCAATTGTACTCTGCTTGCTCTGGTACTGGAATTTGCCAGCCAAGTCGCCTTGATAGTCTTTAATGTGGAATATCAATGTTTTGTCCATACACTGACAGGCTTCCTTTGACAGTAATTTTAAAGCATGGGACAGAAACAGAGTATCATGTATAGACAGGCAGTGTGACAAAACCATACCAGAGGGAAATGTGTCCCAGTATAGTGCTGTTGCTCCATTGTGGCTTGACCACTTGAGAGACAAAAGCAAAACAATTGTAGATTATTAGTTATGAAATTGTTATGCAAAATAGGCCAATTGGCTTTTAGCTGTCATAATCTACATTTTACATTGCAATTGTAAATAGAGATTAAAGGGATACTCTAGTGCCCGGAATACAAAGCGTTATTTCTGGCACTACTGATCCCTCCCCCTCCCCCCCTCCCTCGCGCCCTCCAACTCAGGTAAGTAAAGGGTTAAAACCCCTTGGTTTACTTACCTTATCCCAGTGCCGATGTCCCTCGGCGGTGGGTCGTAGCTCTGCGGCGAGCTGGGCCTAAAGCGCACATTAGACCTCCCCATAGGAAAGCATTGAATCAATGCTTTCCTATGGGGAAAATCTGATGCTGAAGGCCCTCATGCAGAGCGTGATGACGTCCTGCGTCCGATAATGGACCAAAAGTCAGTTACAATTCCGGAAGCGCCACCAGTGGGGACACAGCATCCAGACCATTTCAATGAGCTGAAGTGGTCTGGGTGCCTACAGTGTCCCTTTAAGAAAAGCCAATGATGGGTATAAATATGAGGAAATCTTAAAAAATTTTTTTAATGTCAATTTGAACCTGTATTTTAAGTGGCGATAGAGGTAGGGCATAGCATTACTAATAACGGAAATGGTGGATGATAAGAAATAGTGGCATAACTTTTTACAGATACATAATTTGGTAGATAAAATATGATTCTTGAACCTCTTTCAGGTCCCCGATACTTAGATAATTGTGGTCATAACATTTGTTTCATGGGGTTCGAGCAGGTACACAGCATGTAGTGTTCCAAGTCTAACTTATTATGTTATTTCATTGCATTTTAATGTTACTCCCATCCGTTTACTCTTTACAGCTAATTCCATCAAAGTAGAAATGTATAGTGATGATGAATCTGGGCGCCTTCTTGTCCACGACGACCGACTAAGTGAGAAAGAAGATGGGGGCTTGCCTGATGACTCGCTGGTCGAGCCACTAGGCTACTGTGATGGTTCTGGTCAAGACCCACATTCTCCTGGAGGCATTCGCCTCCCCAATGGCAAACTGAAGTGTGATATTTGTGGAATGGTCTGCATTGGACCGAACGTTCTGATGGTGCATAAAAGAAGCCACACGGGTAAGCCAGAGCTGAGTGAAAACTATAGTGTGATGGGACAGAGGGCACGTCGATGGCCATTATAGTGATATTAAATCCTTTTACTTCAGTATCAATTAGGGTTTGGGATGGCGTGCTGGTAATTTTTGCTTTGTTCATGTATTGAGATAGTGCTATAGTTAGTGCAGCCAACCTAAAGAGATGTGATTTTGAGCGCCAGGATGGTTTGGTTGGTAATCAGTTGATGTTCAGTTCTAGAGTAAATATGAGGTCAAAAAAGGTGAATTGACTTAGTGTGAAGAAGTGGTTTTCACATGACTATATGACCATTTCGTTTTCTGTGGATCACTAGCTAATAATCGACTGCCGTAGAGGCTGAACTCTACTTAGTTGAAACTAGACTTCAGTTCTACAATCGAATGAACAAATATGTTATGTATGGAAACCCTGTCTTTTAATTTTTAGATAAGTGTAATTTCTTTATCATTCCTCATCCATCCTGCAGCATCAATTGGCTCACACTTAATTGCCCAAGCTTTCTCTAAGTATAGTAGTTATTGTGAAAAATAAAGTTGTCAGTTAGATACGATTAGCTGTTTATGGTCCACTTTGTGAACAGACTGCAAGGTCTTGGATTATTGTACAGTGTTAGTGCAGAAGCCTGCCTAGTGTTGATAGAGAGGAGATGTATAACTGTACTGAAACCAGTAGATCTGGACAGTTTATAGACTTATAGTAGCAAAACAAGGAAGGTTAGAGAGCATAGTAAATGACAAGGGATGTATCAACATTTGTTAATTGTTCCTTTCAGTGAAATTCTCTTCCTTTCTAATGGTAGCTCCTAAAGCTGAAAATGGGGGAATACCTTCTCTCCAGAGCCTTGGATTTTAGGCTGACTTCTAATTTGCACAAAATGCTGTGGGAAGTAAGTGGGAGGGCCATTGATCCCCTATGTCTGTACGTTACTAACCAGCTTGCTGTTGTGTTGCAGCACTCAGCGGGGACTTTATGTTTGATGCTGTTTCAGGTGAGCGACCTTTCCACTGTAACCAGTGTGGTGCCTCATTTACTCAGAAGGGGAACCTATTAAGGCACATCAAACTGCACTCGGGTGAGAAGCCTTTCAAGTGCCCATTCTGTAACTACGCTTGCCGTCGTCGAGATGCACTAACAGGTCACCTGCGCACCCACGCTGGTGAGTGTGCTACGCTTGACCTGTTTTGTTAAACAACCAATCTTTCATTGTGGGCATTCAGCCATTCTGGTATTCTTTGCTTCTCTGAAGTCCCAAATTGGTGCTATCTGTATAAGTCTAATGTGCTGTAAGTGCATGCTATGACCAAATAAATATGTTACTTTATTTTTCACATGATTCTAAAATAGGTATTTTTTGTATCAGATCTATAAAATTAGAATTTGTTGGAAATTACCAATTATTATTAAAAACATTTTTTAAGAAGGATAAAAAAAGAACTCTGCCCCACTATCACTGTGACAGTATAATGACAGAGAACCCAAGAATGCTAGAGGTCTCTTAACTGTCCTTTTCACTTTGCGGGGATGCATGCTAAAGGGAATTTATCATTAAATGGCCTTAATTATATATTTTCAGTATGTTGGTGCCTATTTGTATCCAATTTACCATGCATTTTACTAGAACTTCTACAGTTGGCCAATATGACGCAAGTACTACGGGATGTAATATACTTTTACATGACTCTTTTAAGGCAGCCATGATAAATTCCCTTTGACACATATGTTCTATGTTCCTCCTTTCTATTTGATTTATTGGAGACATATCCCTGTTTTATGGGAAGGCTCTATTTTTCATTTTTTCCAGTCTCCTCCCCCACAGTCGGCAAGCCCTACAAGTGCAACTACTGCGGCCGCAGCTACAAACAGCAGAATACGCTGGAAGAACATAAGGAGCGATGCCACAACTACTTGCAGAGCCTCAGTAATGAAGCCCAGCATCTCCCTGCACATCAAGGTGAATGACCTTCTGGAAGGGTACAAACAGGAAATGTATGTATATAGGGTTCAGCAGCATGCACCTTTATTTATTTGTTGCCAGGTATGGTCTTGGTGTGCATAACCTTATTAAACAGGTGTTTGAAAGTCTTGAGTATGGAAGGTTTTTCTTGCAAATACACTATTTATCTCCCTGTTTCCATCTATTATTAGATGTGTTTGTATAATGTCTTGGAGAACAGAAAGTACCAGAATAACCAGTTCCAAGGATACCATACATGGCTTGGTAAATCTGAATTATTAACACTTTTTTGCAGTGCTTATCTGGAAAACTGCAATATAATTACTATTCATGAGAGATGCCAGGGATATAAAACACAAAGCCAGAAAAGTAATATTATCCATCTGTAAACATTAAGTGACCAAAGTTGGCCTTAGCCACTGGCTTTGTTGACTGGCAGTCTTTCAGTCAAAACAAGGCTACAGATTTAAGCAAAACACATGACCTTGGGAAAAAAGCTTAATTTAATTATTGGCTCATTGTGTAGTGAAAAAAGGAAGAACCAAAGAGTCAGGATTTATTGGTTTCTGTAGCACCTAGGAAGCCAAATTAGCTACTTAAATGGAAACTAAAGTTGTTTTCCTGGTACTATTGCTTCCTATGGTGCTCCCCTCCATTGTTGTCCTGCCCTCCTTCTGTCACCTGATTCCAGCGTTGTGGGCTGTGGATCAGGCTCTTCCCCAATAGGAAAGCATGTATGATGCTTTCCTAAAGGGTTTTACATGATGCTGGATGTCCTTTGCTATTCTATGATGGTCATGTTCCAAAATTGCTATCTTCTGGACCTAAAGTGACCCTGTATTCACCAGAACATCTACAACTTAATGTAGTTGTTCTGGTGTCTAAAAAGCCTGCAGGGAATAGGCAGTTATGTAAACACTGCCTTTGAGACAAGATGGCTACATAACCTCCAACATAAGTCTGTCGCTATTAAGTCATATAGTATTTTATGATCAGGGCTAGTTGCAAGAAAAAATGTGAGGCCACTTTATTTTCTTAGAAACCATTTTAATGCTAATTTTGGCAAATGCAGACAATTGGAAAACTTTCGATGAAAGTGCATTGAGAGTAGTGGATGCAGGGGAGGTATAGGTGGGGGATAGGGTATGAAGTGGGTGCATTGGTGATAGGGGCCATGGACCCAGGGGGTTGAGACTCTTGGAGGCACAATCATTGTTTTTATAATCTGTATTGGTATCTGGCATGCCGCTTTACCCATTCCCCAACCCCCTTCCAATGTAGCATGCAAAGGCACCACTTGTTGCTGGCGGCCATGTCATATCCCTTCTCCCTGTATACCACGTGGCATAGGATGGAACTTGCTGAGCCTCAACTTATCTGCATTGTGTGAGAAAGTTGTCAGTGTTTGACTTGAGCAAGGAGAAAGTTGTAAATCTGAGGAAGGGGAACTAATTGTATATAGGGCTTAAGTATGAATCTGTGTGTATTACTGTGTACATGTATATCGGTGTCTGTTTAACTCTGTGCCTGGATGTTTCTATGCTAGTAAGTCTGTATCCCAACTTCTCCTTCTTTCTATCTTTCTACTCCCGGCAGTCGGTGATGTCTCTCCACAGGTTGCTACTCCATTTTAAGTCTTCTTGAACTCAATGCTGCCTTTGACACTTTTGATCATGCCCTTTTTTTCCAAACTCTTCAATCCCTTCCTGTCTGTGACACTGTCCTCTTGTTGTTCTCATCCTAGAACTCCCAATGGTCATTCAGTGTCTCCTTTTCTAATGACACCACCTCTCCTTGTCCTGTCTTGGTCGGAGTTCCCCTAGGATCTGTTCTTGGTCCCCTTTTGTTTTCTCTTTTCACTGCTTCTCTTGGCAAGCGTATTAATTCCTTTGGATTCCACTACCATCTATATGCCGATGACCCCCAGATATATTTCTCCTCCCCTGATCTCTCCCCCACTTTCCTAGAATGCATCACTGTATGCCTTTCTTCCAACTCTGATTGGATGTCCTCCTGGTTTCTGAAACTCAATCTCTCTAAAACTAAGCTTAATATTTTTCTTCCTCATAATCCTCCATGGTCTTCCTCTTTCACTCTCCCTGCAAGTTGATGATCCCTGCATTATCCTATACTTGCAAGATCGCGGTCTTGGTGTTATGTTTGATTCTGGCCTCACCATTACACCTCATGTCCAGACTCTTGATACATCCTGCCGATTCCACCTTAAAAACATTGCCCATGCCCTCCCCTTTCTTACTCAAGATGCTGCTAAGCAGCTTGTTTATGCTCTAGTAATTTCTCTCATTGATTACTTTAATTCCCTCATAATTGGTCTCCCCAGAGACTGCATGGCCTTGCTACTGTCTGTATGAATGCTACCGCAAGGCTGATTTTTCTCTTCTGTTGCTCCTCTCACACCTCGCCCCTCTGTCAATCCTTATATTGGCTTCTTGTACCCTATAGGAGTCATTTCAAAATGCTAACCCTTACCTACAAAGCTCTAAACAATTCTAGCCCTGTTATATTTCTTCAAGTCGTAGGTATGCCCCTTCTTGTTCTCTCTGCTCTGCTGGTGACCACCTCCTGTCTGCTGCTTCAATAGAAATTGTCACTTTTACAAATGAATCTTGTTACACCCACCTGGCTGTCAGTCAGACAACCGGTCCTATTACTTACCTCTGTCTTAGCTCTGTGGATCTAAACTCAAGAGGCTGGCAATTGTCCAGACCACTTGTGAAATGTAAAGGAAGCTTGGATGATTTCACGGTGACCGTTTACCTGTCTTAATCTGAAGGCAACACATGATTTACTATCCCGTTAATGTCCTCTTAGAAATGACATAGTGACATTTTATAGGTAATGACCATTGCATTACATTACATTGCATTGGAAAAATTGCTAGTAATTATCTAGTGTAAATATTATTATATTCATGTTATTTTTACTTTGTCAAATATGGTGTCCATAGACACCCAAGTGATGCAGGTGCAGACACACACATTTTTTTTTTTTTTTTTAGTGCCTTTGAGTCTCTCTGTGATGCATCATGCAAGTGGTATTACTTCCATGTTGACTTTTATTAGATTGTGATTTCTTCACTTTCACCCTGCAAAGTTTCTTGTTGGTGCTATAGCTGGCACATTTTACTAGCATAGCACAAACAACTCGCCCATTCTCTTCTCTCCTTTCCTTCCAGGTGAGGAGATTCGAGACCTGGTGCTGAGACCAGATTCACTACTGCATCTCTCCTCTGACCCGCCGTCTTATATGGACCGGCTGGCATGCAGCCTTACTAAACGCAAGCGCTCCACACCTCAGAAATTTATGGGTAAGAGCACATGTACATGTGTATTGGAGGGGAGCAGTAGTGATAATGTAAAGCTTGTATGTCACAATATTAAAATTAGTATTCTGTCTGTCATGGTGCTTAGAGCACCTACAGTTCTTCTATACGTTTATATCTTGTGCTGTGCAGCTACAGCAATTTATTTTTTAGACATTTATAAGAGACATTGTACCTTCAGTTAAATTCAGCTGAAAACACTTTGATATAGAATATCATTATATGGTCATGCTTTATAATGTAATAAATTACATGTAGCCAATTATAGCATTTTTTTTTTTTTTTTGTATAATTTCTTCCAAAATACCTGTCTAGGTACTTCATAAGATCTCCCTGGTTTCCTTTACTCTTGTGGGTGGCATGGAGTCTGGTAGTGGGCTTGTTAACCTTTATGATAATTTTTGATACTGATATGCAGCAAACAAAATAAGTCACTGCACACAGCATCTCGATGAACCTCCCAGCGCTCAGTGCCAAGGGGACCTCAAACCCCATGTCTTATACAAACAACCACTTTAGGTCGGACTTCAACAGATCTTGAAGCAGATTTTTCACAAAATCATAAAGTTTCAGCCAATGTTTCATGCTTAAATAAAGATCTTTAATTCATAATCTGTTGAAACCTGATCTATACTGTTTTTTTGTTTTTGAACATAGATAATATTTTAGAAACCTTTCTTATAAACAGCCCTAAATGTATAGCAGAGACATTTTTGTCTTATGTTTATTTTCTTTTTTTTTTTCTTTGTACTGCAGATCAAGACAGACAGGTCATAGAAACTTTTAGTTTAAGGTTCACTTCTAACATAAATTAACAGTTTGTGCCCCCCACAAGTAACATTTGAGACATACCAGTTAATGAGTACTGTAAAATGTGCTTTTTATCTGATTGATTTTCAGTCTAAGTAACACATTCCATTTTATTTAGGAGAGAAACAGATGCGGATGAGTCTGAATGACCTCCCGTATGACATGAACTCGAGTTTCGATAAAGATGTAGAAATGGTGCCCCATCACCCTCTGGATCCTGCCTATGGCAACGCATTGGCTTTTGTGGGAGGACCTATGCGCTTACCACCATCAAACTGTATCTCAGAGATCACTCCGGTTATTAGCTCAGTGTACACCCAACTACAGCCCATGCAAGGAAGGCCAGACATGCCAGGAAATCGGGAAGCAGCAGAGGGTCATGAGGACCTACCTGATGGAACACAAATTCATTACAGAGGACGAAGTGAGCATGGGGCTTCCCCTACAAATGGCTGCCAGGACTCCACAACAGACACTGAAAGCAACCATGAGGAGAGGGGATCCCAGGCTACCAGCAGCCGGCAGAGCCCGGCCTACGCCAAAGAGGACCAGAGACCACCTGAGGCAGGGGTAGTACACCACTCCCGCTCATTGCCTGGCACTGCCAAAGAAACCCTGCGAGTGCTGGGAGAGGATGGGGAGCAAGTGAAAGCATTTAAGTGTGAGCACTGTCGGGTACTCTTCCTGGACCATGTAATGTTTACAATCCACATGGGTTGCCATGGCTTCAGAGACCCTTTCGAGTGCAATATCTGTGGCTATCATAGCCAGGACCGGTACGAGTTTTCATCACATATTGTGAGAGGGGAGCACAAGGTTTAACAGAGGGAACGGGGTGGAGCAAGGGAAACTGCACTCACCCCATAGGGCACAGATGCACAGTCTTGCCTAGTGGCAGACACCAATTTATGGCTAGGCCTTTCTAAGCGTGGCCCCTTTAAAAGGTTTTAGTCTTTTGTTGGTTTTATTTTTGACTTTTTAAAAGTAAAAAAAAAATTATTTGACATAATGGGTGGGTAATTAAAATTAAAGCACCTTTACATGTTTTGTTTTCTTATTTCACTACTGTAATCCACATGTTATGTGTTTGAAATTGCAAATAATGATGTATTTTTTCTCAAATACCGTACCTAAGAGTTACATATGACAGAACCATTAACCCATCTAGAGTGACATTTCTACTTCATATGGCATATTAACAGAAATAGGGAATGAAGTAATTTTACATTTAAAAAAAAAAATTTTTTTTTTTTTTTTAAAGGGGTCAAGGCACTACTGGATTAATGGTCATGTGAGCTTGTTAGACGAATATACAAATTGCTGGTTATCTAGCCTCACTTTGGTTCATGCACTTAAAGTGCCTTGTTGCCTGTTGGGGTACACTGTCACCAAGAGAGTACAGTGTTAAAAGTAAAAGTCTTTACCTTTGCTGCCAGATGGGAAGTCGTTAGCTAGATTATCAAAGTTATTAGTTCCCTTGTCTAGGTCTTTATTTTTTAAAGGATGGTCTCCCAGTCTTCTAAATACGCACATAGCTCCACAACTATCTCCAGCAAGGGACTTGGGGAGTAGCAGGACTGGTCTATCCCTTGAAAGTGGTTAAGTGATATCGCCGGTTTTCTCCGCACTTTTGGGAAGTGAGGATATAAAACTGTACTTGCCACTCAAATCTCTAAAGCACTCTCTCTTTTACTTCCTTGCCCAACAATGTGTTCTTCTTTGCACTGACAGATTGACAACAGACTAATGAACGTGAATTAGTTGCATATTGAAAGATAAACTGCTACCAAGAAGAAGTCCCTAGAGGGTTAAAAAAAAAAAAAAGCAAGCAAACTAAAAAATAAAATAAAAATAAATCTATTTAAATATTGTTAACTGTGCAGCTGAATATTTTCCCCCCTTAGATATTTTTTTTTCTCCCCTTGCTGCTGGATGGGCCTACCATTCGTTGCAGTGCAGTGAGTTTTAATGCTGCAGATTATGTTGCAGTTAAGGGGTTAAAATATTAACGCTCTTGTAATTATTTTTGTCAATATTTTCTGAATATTTTGTATATCCCTTAATTTGTCCACTTACATCATCCTGTCTTAAGCGTCAGTTCTTCGATCTTGTTACAGAGAGACACATGCACACATAGCCTGGTCATAAGAAGTAAGCCTTTTTTACTTTAATGCTAAATACTTGCTGTGAGATTAATAGGGGTAACACTTGTGTCCATGTTATGATCAATTAATGTAAAAACAATCTCAGATGGGTTTTACACCTTTTTTGTTAGTGACACAATAAGCAGTTATGTTTTGAGCATTACTGCTCATGTTTGTGTGCCTTGAATGCAATGCAACTTTGCATTCGTTGGGTAACTTTCTTTAAATTACACAATGTCTCTCCATGTCCAAAGGAGGAGGACCATGTTGCTCATTCCTTGGTGCTGAAAATGGAAGCACATCTTGTGGTCTTCTGAAAGTTTTAACTTAGAGACACCCCAAGCACTCTAACCACTAGTTTATTGCAGCGATGATGGTGTAAGGAGGCTACGTGTATAATCCAATTCAGTTTTTGTTCATTCCATTTCCAAGATGTTTGTAAAGGTTTGGAGTGTGTAATCTTAGGGAGCTGGAAATCTAGTGCTTGCAAATGGTTTGATAGTAACTGGGGGGTGGGGAGTACATTACTAGTGTCATAACACCAACAGCACTATGGCAAGCTGTAATGATTATAATGCTTGGCATGTCCATTTAATATAAAGACTGAATTCAGATACAGTATTTGTATGTTCATTATTATTACCCAGTAAAATCTGCGACGGATTGCATACAACAGATGATGTACCTTTGCAAAACAAGAGCCAAAAAAAGTATAATGCCTATCTACCACCTTGCTAGAAACCTAATCTGTGGAGAGCATTATTTTCTTTGGAAGATTTTCCTGACAACTAGAGCCACATGTCAGTTATATTAAGAATGAAGAAATCCTGATAATATAACTAGAAGCAAAGAGTTTAGTGATCTCAAATAACAAGACTGTGACGACAGCCAGCACGAGAAATTAGTAGGCTCTATATTAACTTCATGATAATGAAAATTGGAAATAGCTTTATTTGAAAGTTCAACTTTTCTTATGTGGGGTACTTCATTTGAATTATACTGTTGCTTTAATTATGCATTCACTATAGTAATTACAAAATGAGACAAAGTATTTTTATTAATTATTTAAATCTTGTGGTAACTCAGAAATTCCCATATTTTTCTGCAGCTTCGATCAGCAGTTTTATTTTTATTTTTTCCATGAATGGTACAATGTCCGTGACAGGGAGGTTGATTGAGAGAATACTGCTAGTTTCCATGTGGATTACTCCTTATTTAGTACTTTACCTCAGAAGAGGGACCTGTGTTTGCCTTGATAAATTACCCCCCCTATCCACATCATAAAGGTGAGGGGTTCCTTTTCACCTCACGTGCAGCATTGTTATTGCATGTAGATACTTTGTACTGATTACAATTACATCACTTAACCAAGATAGAAACAAAATGTTGCTACCCTTGTATTTACTGAACCAATAATGACACTGTGACAGTCCTCAACTCTTCATAATGATGGAAGGGAATCTGGGCAATAAATGTTCCATGCCATTGCTCGCTTGTCCATTACAGGGAAAAGTACTCTAGCAAGTGGCTATAAAGACTCCCATTAATTTCACATGTTTACATTAGTTTGGTATGAATCTCAGATTACATATCAGTGAAAATAAATATTTGCCACATTTTCTTATGATGGTGCGTCAAACTTCCCCAGAAGTAGAATTTAGCAATGACTCTTGCACTGGTCCTCTAAACAGTTATGTTCCTATTTTCTAGAATTAATTTTTAAAAAGCATGTGACATCCTTACTTCCAACCACTGTGTACTAAATAAAAATGCCAATCAGTGTTTCGTGTGGAAACACAAATGTATACCAAATGCATCAACTGATAAAGGCCATTTAAAACTTCATTATTTTCCCCAATGCTTTTAAAGGGGCATGTTAAGCACCATAACCGCTACATCCTGCTGTAGTGGTTCTGATGCAAGCAGTTTCACAGTGTAACATTTAAGATTCAATCTGTTTGACATCTACCTGGGTCCCATGTGTGGCACCTTCTTCACTGATATTGCTTAAGCGAACGTTCCTACTAATGAATTAGCAATATCAACTCTGTTTTATCTTTAGACAGAATTCTAGTGCTAGCTGACACTCTTCAGTCAATGTGTTCTTCCCAAATTTGGATAAAATTGATATTGCTGAAGTTGAAGAGAGGCTGGAATGTGGCACCCATGGAATCCAGGTAAATATCAAACTGTGCAAAAATGTTTGCCTCTTAATGCCCTCAAGTCACCATAACCACTAACAGTGTGCTGTAGTTGTTATGATGCTTAGCGTGCCAAATAAAAAAATATATTCTAATATACAATGGGATATGTGGCACATATCCTCTACTTATTAACCTAGTGCTAATGTAAGAAAATAACCCACAGGGTTCATCTGGGCTACATTTCTAATAATGCTTTTATAGTTCTGAGTACTACTGGTGAGCCTACTAATCAGTTATACTGGTATGCTCCAGGACACAGTGCCCGTGTAAGAATTATTTTACTCTTGCACTACACTGCATTAATTTTGCAAATACAACCATATATAATTCTTGTAAGGTAGTTCATATTCCAGAAAATAATGTGCTTGGAGCTATTATGCTCTCTGTCAGAGTAAGTGGTAATAAGGCCAGGCATGGTATTGCAAGTTCTAGAAGGTGACTGCATAAACCACCCGTCTCCAGCACAAAACCGTCACCTTTAGAAAAGTCTTACAAGGCTAAAGCCCCTCCTTCCCCCTTAATTGTATGACTAGAGAGCTTTTAAAAAGCACTACAATAGGAAATGACTGATATATTTGCAAATAACCAAAAACATGCAATGCTTTAATAACACACATTTAACACTATTTGATTTCCATTTCACTTTTCTCAAAGATTTAGCTTTGTGGTGCTTTCTCCTTAGTAGCTCATGTAAAAGAACCTTTTCCTATTGTTTTGCTTGAATCCCCAGCAGCAAAACCAGGGTTCAAACAACACTCAATGATAGCATGTACCATTCTACCATGAATTTGAAACCAAAGGCCGTTTCATTTATTTCTTTTATACAACACAAAACACCTCAAAATTACAAATATTCTTTTGTTAATCAATATGGGACTATATATTAGGACAAAATGAAATAATTGCAGTAAAGGCTACATCCCTGTGAACAATCTTTCCCATTCTCATGCTGCTCTAGATGCTTTTGAAGTGGCCCTTATTCTTTTAGGCTTTAACCATACAACTGAATTAGCCTGTGAGTGGTTACAAAACCAGCTATTCGGACACCATTAACTTATTCTTCTAACACAGTAGTTTTCAACATCTATCAGGACTTTCTGTAAAAAAATTTTTGTACTTTATACATTCAAGACTTTTCCCACAACTCTAAACCTATTACCTAATACAAAAAAAAGTTTTATTTATAAGGAAATATACTACAACTTCTTCATTTATGTACATACTTCCCCGTCAGAAGCCTTTACAGTAGCTCAAAGAAAAGATCTTTTTTTTTTTTTTTTTTAAAGAACAGAACAAACCTGCCCAATTGACTATTGAATATACCTTCAACATCTTGTTAGAGACATTGCAGACCAGTTAAAGACTGTACACTACCTGGGGTGTATGTATTCTGCCAATTTAGCGTTGTGCCTATAGAGAGTTACCACTGAAGCCCTTAGTAGCCTGGCATTTTTACTGACCGCTTTGTTTATATTGTTCTTTTCTTGACTTTATACTACCTGGCTCTTAAAGTTCTGCGAAATAATTCTAAGCTAGGCTCACACAATCCCAGTTTAGAGAATTGACCTCTAATACACGATCAAACTGCAAATATTTTTGTCAATAATATATTATGACAATAAATTATATTATTAATATAGGATATATTATCAAGATGATTTGATTGGGTTCTATTATAGAAATGTGTCTTCCCATACTGATCAATTAGTGTTCAAAAGGCAATTAAAACTGAAAATGCATTCAACTGGGTTATAATTCATGTAAACGTCTATCTAATGAGTGTGCTGTGGCAGCATGTATTTTTGAATATTAGAAAAAAAACACTGCCATTTAACAACAGATGTAAGAGTTGAGATGTAAGACTTATAAGAACAGTAGCTATCGTGGAGGGATCTGTACGTGTAAAATAAAAAAAATGCTAATTCACCACAAAATCCACAATCAGAACAAGTCTAACAAAAAGTATTCTACTTCTATTTTATCAATGCAAAGTATTGAGGGTTTTTTTTTTTTTTTCTTCATCAGTTTAAAACTTTAGTCTTAAAGCATTTCTGTCGTGCTTTGTTCTGTTATTGGCTCAATAGTTAAGAAATCTCCTTTACGTTACAGTCCTCCTTTCTCAATTCCGTGAAATTGTACCTTCCATTTACCCCTCTCTACCTCTTGCAACTCTCTCTGCAAATTCCATTTTAGCTGCCCTTTTGCTGTCAAGCAAGTTACACCGCAGTGGCCATCACAAAACTAGGCACAAAGTATTGTCTACATTATACGCAACACCTATAAAAGGAGATTCACGTGGGGAAAGCCACGATAAACAAAACCAGATTATAGTAAAGAATTGTATATGTTTAAAACAAAACATTACAGAGATGCTTTAATTTAAATGTTTATATACTGTTAAGACTGAAGAGCTACAGGCTGTGTTAGGTCTTTCTATGGTGTCCTTAGTTGGGGGGAGTTAAATATTTTGTTACCTTCCCCCCTCACATTTCAGTAACTGTAGTTTTTAGCAGGTCAACACATGCAGTCATTTATCAATATCATAAAAGCCTGCACTGTTCGATAAATTATGTAGATAGTGTCTGCATTTAAAAAAAACATCTTTTGCTTTAGCAAACATTTCACATGCAGTTTTAAATCCTTGAAAACCCACCAAGACTTACCCAGTAAACTGTGATACTGTTACACACATCAAACAGACAGGCCATGATTTTGTACACTTTAAGAGGAATAGAGTTATCAAGCAATGTGGACACTTAAAAAGGGTTTTTAAAAAGTCAGCATTTTGTATCTAAATCTATTAATATTTTCTCTTTTTAAAAAGCCCAAGAAATTATCCATGGTGTTCGTTCCTTGTTTCTAACATTTCAACAGAAAAGTGCAATATTTCTAATTTCCCATGTTATTATAAGTATTTTCCTGGGTTCTGTTAGATTTTGTTAGTGTTACCACCCTCTTTGTGAGGTTAAACTTGCTTTTAAATCTTGCTGCAAAGCTTTTTTTTGTATCTGTAACATAGTGTAAGTAAACATTTGTGTAATGGAGATAATGTATGTTTTGTATTGTTCTGGCTGAAGATCTGTTATAAATAAAATCGGAGTCATTTATCATGTTTGTTTATTTTTTCTTCTAAATTCTAAATAGATATACTGCCCCTAATCTACTTCCAATGACTACCACAAGATGGCAGTAAGCGAAATATTGTTTATGAACTGATGGACATAACTTTATTTAGGATGCAGAAGTGTTTTCAAAGCGGCATTTTATTTCTGATCCTAATAAAAAAAAAAAAAATGTTCATCAGGATTCAAGACCATTATGCAATTGTGGAATTAGATTATGAATGGCAACTTGTTTAAAAGGGAAGTCATTAATATGTTGTGCGTTAAATGTTATGTGGGGTGTGTTCTTTGTATAACTCTCTGCACACTTCTGGTGAAATGTTTTTTTGAGTAATACAAACTACAACTATAGATACAAGCCGTTACTGAAAGCAACTGCTCACCCAGGCAGAAATTATTTACATGCCAAACAGTGGGATGCTTTGCTAGTCATTTAGGGATAGTACACTCAACTGCATACATGCATTTGTGGCAAACAGTCTAAAGAACCATGCCTTTTCATTTATAAAGAAAATGTAACTACATAACTAAAAAAACAGAACTGCATATGTTTTGTGGACAACCATGTTCTTTTGATGTGGCACTGTCCCTTTTGTAAAAATAGATTTAATTGAAATTCCATCATAAAAGATTACAGACCACTTTCCTTTGTAGAGCTTGATATTTTGGCAAAATATGGCAGCACATAAAGCTGTTGCCACCACATCTTGCCATTTCTCATCAGCAGTCACTCAGGACTACTCATGCTGATTGGCCAGGGTGGTGTTTTCCCCTATGGGAAAACATTGGGAAAGATTATCAATTCTAAAGATGTCAACCGAGAGGCAGATTGGGGCTGGGCCCAGCGCTGGTGGACCTGTGTGGCGCTGGAATAAAGGTGAGTTTTAGAAAATCGCAAGTGGGCAGCCAGCTAGTGTTTTTAACACTATAGAGTTTCTTTAACCCCTTAAGGACACATGACATGTCATGATTCCCTTTTATTCCAGAAGTTTGGTCCTTAAGGGGTTAAAGGGACACTATAGTCACCAGAATAATTACAGCTTAATGTAGTTGTTCTGGTGAATATAACCATTCCCTGCAGGCATTTTCATGCAAACACTGTCTTTTCAGAGAAACGGCAGTGTTTACATTGACCCCTAGGGACACCTCCAGTGGCCACTCCTCAGATGGCCACTGGAGGTGCTTCATGAGGCAGTGCTGCACAGTAGGCAGCACTGCTGTTTAGCGTCTCCACACTCTGCATGGAGAAGCTGAAATTTCCTCATAGAGATGCATTGATTCAGTGCATCTCTATAAGGAAGTGTTGATTTGCCAAAACGGTGTTTGGCCCTGCCCCATCCCCCCTCCTTGCTGATTTCCATTTTTAGCCAATCCAATGTTTTCCCTATGGGAAAGGATTGGATTGGCTAAAAATGGTAAACTCTGATGTCACCAAGATGGCAGATCGGAGGCGGGCCAGTGCCTTTGGACCTGTGTGGCACTGGAAATAAGGTGAGTTTGAACCCCTTCTAAGGGGGCGTCGCCACCAGGGCCGGTGCAAGGATTTTTGCCGCCCCAGGCAAAAGAAAGATTTGCTGCCCCCAGTCAAGAGATATACAGACACAGTAGGGACTACTTTGTCTCAGTATTTCTCCTACGCCCAGGGCCAGTGCAAAGATTTTTGACGCCCTGGGCAAAATAAAAATTTGCTCTCCCCCGGGACATCACAATGCCCCACCCATATGATCTGCCATATGAACTAGTGCCATTGCTGCACACAGTGTGTGTTTACATTAAAAAGCCTGCAGAGACAAACTATAGACACCAGAACAACTTTATTAAGCTGCAGTGGTTCTGGGGACTATAGTGTCGATTTAATGTGAGGTAAATTAGAGATTAGTGTCACTAATAATATACTAGATTGCCTACTTACATCAGATGGGGATGGGCTCTGGCTGCAGTCTGGCTCCACTGGTCTGGTGTAGAACAGGATCTCTGGAGGCTGTTTGTAAATGTGGTCACAAAATTCAATGTTCTGGGAGAACGGGAAGCAGCTCCATTTTTGGGGGCCTCTTACATAGCTCAAGGTCTGGGCCCCAGGGCCTGACGGTGAGTATGCCCATAAAGCCCACCCATAAGTCCACCTACATGTTCCACCCATGAGTTCGCTAACAGGGAGTAGAGTGTGTAGGGGATGTGTTATGTGTTACTGTAGAGGATCTAATGTGTGTGCTTACGGAATGTAGTGTATAGGGATACCAGTTTGTGTAGGTGATGCAGTGTGTTTGTGTGTAGTGGAAGCAGTGTGTTTTTGTGTAAGGGATAGAAAGCAGTGAGTGTTTGTGTATAAGGGATGTATTGTGTGTTTCTTGTTGTGTGTAAGGGATGCATTGTGTGAATCTGTGTTTGTATACATAAGAGATGCAAAGTGTGTTTCTGTGTATGTAAGGGATGCAATGTGTGTGTCTGTAAGGGGTGCATTGTGTGAATCTGTGTTTGTATACATAAGAGATGCATTGTGTTTTTGTGTGTGTGTAAGAGAAGCAGTGTGTGTTTGCATGTGTGTGTGTAAGGGATGCATTGTGTGTTTCTGTGTATATGTGCAAAGGATGCTTTGTCTTTATGCGTAAGGGTTGCATTGTGTGTTTCTCTGTGTGTAAGGGAAGCATGTTGTGTTTCTGTGTGTATAGGGATGCATTGTGTGTATGCGCGCGGTGTAAAAGAGCTCCCTGTCCTGCCCCCTGTCCTATAGTGCTCTCCCTTCCATTCATTAGAGATCTCCCCTGCCCCTTAGTGGTCTCTCCTCTCCCCCCCACCTCCGTTAGTGGTCTCCTTTTCTCCCCGACTTTCCATTAGTGGTCTCTCCTCTCCACCCCCCTCCCTTAGCGGTCTCTCCTCACACCCCTCCCCTAGTGGTTTCTCCACCGCCCCCTCCCTCCTTTAGTGGTCTCTCCCTCCCCTACGTTCTCATCTCCCACCCCCGTGTTCTCCTCTTCTTCTCCCCCCGTGTTCTCCTCTTATTCCCCCCCCTTTGTTCTCATCTTCTTCTCCCCCGTGTTCTCCTCTTTTTCCCCCCTCCCTGTGTTCTCTCTTATTTCCCCCTCCTGTGTTCTCCTCTTCTTCTCCCGTCCTGTAATCTCTTCTTCTCCTTCCTCCCTGTAATCTTCTCTTCTTCTCCTTCCTCCCTGTAATCTTCTCCCCTCCCCCGCTGTAATTTTCTCTTCTTCTTCCCCCTTCCCTCCCTGTAATCTCTTCTTCTCCCCCATAATCTTCTCTTCTTCTCCCCCCTCCCTCCAATCTTCTCCACTTCCCCCTCCCTCCTTCTCCACTCCCCTCCACTCCCCTCAATCTTCTTCTTCTCCCCCCCTCCCTTAGTGTTTCCCACTCCCCCCTCCTCCAATCTTCTTCTTCTCCCCCCTGTAATCTTCTCCCCCTGTAACCTTCTCCTCAGCCCTCCTCCTGTAATCTTCTCCCTCCTGTAACCTTCTCCTCCCCCCTCCCTCCCACTGTAATCTTCTCACTCCCTCCTATAATCTCCCCCCTGTAATCTTCTCCCCCATCTCCTATAATCTTCTCACCCCCCTCCTATAATCTTCTCCCCCCCCCTCCTATAATCTCACCCCCTCCCCTATAATCTTCTCCCCTATAATTTTCTCCCCCCCTCCCCTATAATCTCCACCCCTCTCCCCTTCTCTTCCCCCATGCCCATAACCTTTCCCCCCTCCCTATAACTTCCACCCCCCTCTCCCTTCTCCTCCCCTCCCCTATAATCTTCACTCCCCCCCTCCCTCCCTTTAATCATCTCCTCACCTCCCCGGCACTGTAGCGTGGCCGAGCTCCTATCCGGTCCGCGACCCGGCGGGACTGACAGGAAGTGCACACTCAGTCCGGCCGGGTCGCGGACCGGAAAGGAGCTCGGCCACGCTACAGGGGAGTGGAGGTGAGGTAGTGGAGCAGCCGCCTGAGCGCTCTCTATAGAGCGCTCAGGCGGCTGTGGCATTTAAAGGGCCGGCGATGGGGGCGCCCCCTCCTATATGGTGCCCTAGGCGGCTGCCTAGTTCGCCTTATAGGAAGCGCCAGCCCTGGTCGCCATCTAAATGGTAGTTTTAACACTATAGGGGCAGGAATACATGTTTGTGTTTGTTTAAGAAAAATATATTCATACTTTATAGAATTTATTTTTCTGGATATGTCTTTAACAGGAGATTAGAATTAGCTCTCTTTTTTTAACTGATAGAACTGAAAACGAATGTCTATTTAGCCGTTGGTTTCAAGTTAAAGAAAACTAAGGAGAGAATATTCTGTTGCCATGGCTACATCCACGAAAAGAAAAGGATTGGGAAGCAATAATACATTATTTTATTTATTTTTATTCCTGGCTAATCCATGGTAGCAAATGTTAGGATAATCAATACCCAAGCTAAAAATCCCCCATAAGACCGGAACAATGAAACCACACAATTTACAAGGTTAAACTAAAACAAATGTATGAAAAGTGAAATAAAAGCAGTCACAGCATTAAAGAAGCACTTAAATGCATTAAAAGTGACCATAGTTTCACTTTAAAAATGTTGCAGCCAAACCTAGAAGCTTTAACAGCTCTGACATGGAAAGCATAATGATTGAGAAATGTTGGGCAATGTTGAGGTCCATGCAGCTGTCCCATACATGCTCTATAGAAGTGTGTAATGCATCTGCCCAGGAGTATTTAAACCAGAGCCATCACTATTCTGGAAATTACCCAATTCAATAAAACCCAATGTCACCCCATAAGTGTCACCAAGCTTACATACCTAGAGCCAGGACCTATTTGGCTCCTATCCAGGTGTGCACATTCAGCTTGTTTTGTTTATATAGGAGAGTTTTAGAACTCTACACTATTGCTGCCTTTTTTTTTTTTCCTTCTCCCTTTTGAGTGTGGTGTTTCATATGAAGAAAGGTGTTGCTACCTGCAAAGCTTTGCAAATATTGAACCTTACTGTTACCAGGTTCTGCTTCATGTGAGTGTTCTTAGTTATTTGAGCTATTCCTCCCTTGTAGACATTGTACCGTCTTCACTGTATTTAGTCTATTTTGTTTTCTCATATGCTGTTCTCCTGACGATTTATCACCGTTATTAAAGGACCACTATAGGCACCCAGACCACTTCACCTCAATTAAGTGGTCTGGGTGCCAGGTCAATCTAGGATTAACCTTGCAGCTGTAAACATAGCAGTTTCAGTGAACTAGGATTAATCCAGCCTCTAGAGGCGCTTCGGCTCTTCTCACTGTGAAAATCACTTCTTAAAATCATTTAACTTTTTTTTTTTTTCCCATGCAATAATAATTTTTCATTTATTATGTTATATGGAATATAAAGATTTACCAGTTTTACATCATGATTCAGTTAAGCATTCACACAGCTAGGGCACACGGTCTGGAGCGGAAACAAAATTTTTTTCCATTTCTCCTCCTCTGTATATGGTGATTGACAAGTGTAAAGGGAGGGAGAGAGCTAAGATAGATGTGATTTCTACTCCTTTTGTTCCATGTTTCAGAAACATATATTTGTTTAATATATGGTAGGGGATAATCTGGGGAGGAAAGAAATACTTGAAGTTAAGCCTTACCTTTTAAGTCATGTTTGAGACTATCGTCAACAGTGACCCTTAGCTAGTGCAGCCACTATCCACCAACTTAACATTTAAACCATAGTAGAAAACCTCTGCAATCACCATAGAAAACAAGACATAATTGAGAGTTCCCAGACTGGGGATGTCCAATTTCTGTCACCTCCTTTTCTCAGCAGTTTCTAGAAAAAAAAAAAAAAAAGTCAAACTTGGTTAATGTTAAATGATGTGGCTACCTTGGGATGAAATGCCACTTTTGTTCTTAAAGAGGCAAGTTTTTACATGAATCCCTAAAAACACCTCCAGTGGTAGTCACTCACAAGGCCTTCTTTAACTCGGCGCAATCGGGGCAGCTGCCCCAGGCCCAGTTACTTTCCATGTCAGAGCTGTTAAAGCTTCTAGGTTTGGCTGCAACATTTTTAAAGTGAAACTATGGTCACTTTTAATGCATTTAAGTGCTTCTTTAATGCTGTGACTGCTTTTATTTCACTTTTCATACATTTGTTTTAGTTTAACCTTGTAAATTGTGTGGTTTCATTGTTCCGGTCTTATGGGGGATTTTTAGCTTGGGTATTGATTATCCTAACATTTTCTACCATGGATTAGCCAGGAATAAAAATAAATAAAATAAAAATGTATTATTGCTTCCCAATCCTTTTCTTTTCGTGGATGTAGCCATGGCAACAGAATATACTCTCCTTAGTTTTCTTTAACTTGAAACCAACGGCTAAATAGACATTCGTTTTCAGTCCTATCAGTTAAAAAAAGAGAGCTAATTCTAATCTCATGTTAAAGACATATCCAGAAAAAGAAATTCTATAATGTATGAATATATTTTTCTTAAACAAACACAAACATGTATTCCAGCCCCTATAGTGTTAAAACCACCATTTAGGGTTCAAACTCACCTTATTTCCAGTGCCACACAGGTCCAAAGGCACTGGCCCGCCTCCGATCTGCCATCTTGGTGACATCACAGTTTACCATTTTTAGCCAATCCAATCCTTTCCCATAGGGAAAACATTGGATTGGCTAAAAATGGAAATCAGCAAGGAGGGGGGGTGGCCCAAAGCAGCTACCCTGTGGGCCCTGCTGCCCTCTACTATTTATTTCTCCCCCAGGGGCACGCACACTAAGAAGGCCCACCTGGTGGCCCATGCACTAAGGGCCACCTGGTGGGCCTTTGTAAACAGGAGCCCGGTCGCATGCTGTATCACTTTAACAGCGCGACCGGCCCCATGCTTTTCGGCAGCACTGGGAGGAAGTGACGACCAGGTGTCACTTCCTCGCAGTGAAAAAATAGAGCCGCGTGGGAGAGATCAAGGAGGCAGTGAGGAGGGGGCCAGGCGAGCCAGCCCCTAACTCACAACAGCCTCAGCCACCACTCTGGACACCAGGGAAGGCACCCTTCAAGGTTGGAAACAGGAGGTAGGTTAAAAGTGTAAATTGTGCATATGTGAATGTGTCAGTGTGTATGTGTGTCAGTATGTCTGTCAATTATGTGTCTGTGTTTGTTAATGTGTCTGTCACAACTCGTTTTCCTGGCATTATAGTGCCCTGAGGGTGCCCTCATCCTCAGGGGCCCCCTTCCACTGGGCTCGGGGGGGGGATGAAGGGGTTAAACTTTCTTTCTCCAGCGCCGGGCGGGGAGCTCTCCTCCTCTTCGGCTGAATGCGCGGCAGGAGCTGCGCGCGCATTCAGCCAGTCCATTCACAATGCTTTCCTATGGATGCTGTCGTCTTCTCACTGTGATTTTCACAGTGAGAAGCACGCAAACGCCTCTAGCGGCTGTCAAGAGACAGCCACTGGAGGCTGGATTAACCCATTTATAAACATAGCAGTTTCTCTGAAACTGCTATGTTTATAAAAACAAAAAGGGTTAACCCTAGCTGGACCTGGCACCCAGACCACTTCATTAAGATGTTTAAACAGCAACTGTAATTGAAGATCTTCCCAGTCAACATCAATATTGCAACAGTCAAAAATCGCAATAATAATAATCATAATAATAATGACTGTTATAAAAAAATTTTATAGAAAAGTATTCACTCATTCTAGGAGATTACTGTACAAATAATAAGTGTATCCCCAGCAAATCTCACTTTACGTCCTTAGTGCGGCACAGTGAGCTCAGTGCGCCTGCGCCACCAAGTCAATCTTCCGTCAGTACACCGTGATCCTTCCACCAATGACAGAAAATAGTTCCAGGTGCACGCGTACCAGTGCTTCTCTCTGCACACACTGAGGGTGTTGCTAGGCTTCGAAAGGAAGACGGTCTAACAGCCGCCTGCATTACGACTGCCCTGGGGTTGCGTCACTTCCGTGGCGGAAGGATCGCCTTTATAAGGCAGCGCGGCGCTTTACGGTTCTCTTTTCAGCCCTCGAGTCCAAGATGGTGAGAGCGAGCGAGTGTGTGATGGCGGCCGGGAAGCGGCCACTCAGTGCTGTTATCGTGTGATGGCAGTACGGCAGCTCTCTCCGGCCGCCGGGTGGGCTCTCACAGCGGGGAATGGCTGTCAGGGAGCGGGGGCTGGGGTCCGGGGAGCCTCGCTCTGGGGGGAGCCGCGTGTTACAGGCCGGGCCGCCCCCTGGTTTAGAGGAGGCTCCCTATAGCTTTATGGCGGCAGGCACCATCTCATTATAGGGCAGCGCTTATTGCACGCTAATAACCATGGTTATTATCATTAATCCCTATGGGCTGCCTGTCCCTTATGAGGAGTGAGGCCTATGGACCGGGCCTCCCCGCTCTCCCTCCTTGTGCAATGTGTTAATCCCATCCCAGGAGCTCATAGCCAGCAATGCAATGTGAACTCAGGCAGCCCTGATAATGTTAGAATATTAAAATTGTATTGGCACCGTTTTGTATAACACATCAATTGGTCTCCAAAACCTGTATTATTATTTTTGATAGAATGTTACTTTTCATGTTTGTTCCTGTCTTGTTTAATAGACCTGCCTAATATTGATCAGAATACTGTCTGATTTATTGCTGTTGGTAACACGCAAAATGTGCCTGTGCCCTGTGTTTATTTTAAAGTAACTCGTTTTTGACTTCTTTCAAAACAGACCAAGAAGCGAAGGAATAACGGACGCGCCAAGAAGGGCCGCGGGCATGTTCAGCCCATCCGCTGCACCAACTGCGCCCGCTGTGTCCCAAAGGACAAAGCCATCAAGAAATTTGTTATAAGGAACATAGTGGAGGCTGCTGCAGTCAGGGATATCTCTGAAGCTAGTGTCTTTGACTGTAAGTTCACATGGCTCATATACTTGATTTAGAGTTTGGAAGCTCTGGCACTTTCAGTGTCTTGGTTTATTTTGCAATGACTTTGCAAGAGTAACATGAAGGCATGATGTGCAGCAATCCGAGGGAGGTTCTAACAAAAGAGATACTTACCTGAAAGACCCCCTTGTAGATGCCATCTTTCTTATGGGTAACCCCTTTCTATGTGCTTCATCTGTTGGGTTCCGGTCACAGTTTTATTCTTGTGCATGAGCATCAAACAGGTTCATGCCATTGCTGGAACAGCTATCCCGGCTAAGCCTGTGCAAGTGAGGGTTCTGGGTTTCTTCACCTTGAAAAAACGAAACCAAATCAAATGTTAAAATTGCCACACTGTGTGATTCTTCTCTTAGAAGTAAATGCAATGCTCTATGTGGAAAGTTACCAGTGTTAGGAATCATGCATAGCATGAAGCCGAACATGAAGACCTTTTGATTTTTCAAATATCTTCATGAAGGAGAGCCCGTAGTGTCTCAGTCAAACTGGAGTCGTGTTCCTGGCTAAATGTAAACATTGTTGTCTCTTGGAAACTGTTTTACATTGGGGGAGGGGGGGGGGGAAAGACCAGGTCTATGCAACAAAAATGGTAAAATAAGTAGTTCCTGCAGTGTCCCCTTTTAGCCATGGGAATTGGTGAAATGTCCTTGGAGACATCTACAGAAAGTTTTAATTGTTCAATGGTGGAATATTGGAATATACGGTAACTTTAACACTCAGGGTTCTTGGCTCTGGCAAGTAATTGTTGTCAAATAGTTTTTAGCTTTTTCTGCTCATGTGGAAGACACCTTCTGCTGCAACACAAAAATTGGAGTAGTATAAAGTTTTGGCGTAAACTTTGATTTGGAATATGGAAGAAAAATCTTAAACTACTTCCTGTAATAGCTATATATTTTTTTCTTAGCAAAGTGCTTACATAAGTTCTTTATTTTACAGCCTATGCATTGCCCAAATTGTACGTAAAACTGCACTATTGTGTCAGCTGCGCGATCCACAGCAAAGTTGTCAGGAACCGATCTCGTGAAGCACGTAAGGATCGTACACCACCACCTAGATTTCGGCCAGCGGTAAGTATTACTTAATGTAAATTTTATAGACTTGGATTTAGGAGCATTTCTACAAACATTCATCTGACATCTGTAGAGGATAGTCTGATCCAAAGGTGAATGTTCATAATGTAAACCAAATCCTCCTCCTGTGATAATATTGGATACTAAAGTGATGTTTGTGTACCTACTTTCTTGTATCTTATTAGGTAGTTTTTTGTTTTGTTACGATCCTCTCCATGAAATGCAGTGACCGTGCAATGTTAGTGTTTGATAGCTCCTTCTAGAAAACTGAATATATTTTAAATAGTTTCTGCTGTACTTGTGAAGTATGCTTTTCCATTTTGTTTATACTGCATGTTTATAGGGTAGGCAGATTTAGAAATATTTTTTTTTTTTTGTGTGTGAAAACTGCCAGGATACAATTAAGCTTAATACCAACCAGGTTGGTCTATATTGTCTAATGGTAGTTTAGAATAGTGTATTGTTAAGATGGTGTTTAGTTATCACCCACCCCTTTTGTATACATAGTTGCAGTATTTTTTTTCTTTAATGCAGTTGTATGTTGGGGACTCACATGCCACACTTGCTGGATGTGCAAACTCTTACAGATTCTCTCATTTGAGGTGTCTCAGATATTAAGAACACCTTCAACTGTAGCAAAGAACAGTTTTTTTTTTTTTTTTGTTTTTTTTTACTTTTTCCTAATGAAAGTTTTGCATATAAATTCTCGAATGTCATTTTAATCTGCATGCTTTCTTAAAGGGGAGCAATTGCTTTCCAGGATGTTATGTTTACTTGTCCTCTGTATCTAACAAATATGTATTTGTCAGGAATATTAAAGGGACTTTGTCACTTTGACAATTTCATCTCAATGAAGTAGTCTGGGTGCAGTGGACATGACCTTTTAACGTTTTCTCTGCCATTTAGGAGTGAATTCACTTGTTTTTGTTTATCCGGCCTAAATTGCATTTATATAGTGCTTGGAGCAGATCTGTTAACAGATGCCAAAATAACCTTTACATCAACTAAAGGTCCCCCCTCAATTTTCTGCATACATGACTAGGCTGACAGCATGTGATGCATACCTAAAACTGACACGTGTCACCACAACGGCCTCTTCTCTTGTGAGATTATTCTAGTGTATGATCTGAGGTCTGTCCTATGCTTCTCTCAACAGCATTGGAGCCCTACTGGGCAAGTATGACAATAGGGTGTCTCAGCCAATCTAATGCTTCTGATTATTTATATAGCGCCAACAAATTCCGTAGCGCTGTACAATTCTACATGTAATCAGTACTGGACTTGAAGGCTGTCCATTGTCTTCCCAAGGAAAAACCTCTTTTAGCGTTCTACCGCTACTAGGGTATTCTGAATGGCAAATGTAAACACAAACCACAGTGTTTGCCAGACTGCAGGGCAGGTTTTTTTTTTTTATACACATCAAAACAAACTTTATTAAGATTAAGTGATTTTAGTGTTTTTATTGTGGTTCACAAAACAAATCTGATTTCAGTCTCCTCTGATTAAGGGTGAATTCTTCTGCTGTAATGTAGCGGACTAGTCCTGATAGGCACAAAATGAAAGTGCATACATTAAGATACGCGCATAGTAAGAAGTCATAGGTTATCTAAGTTTAGTTGCTCTGTTTTGTTTGGTAATAGTCTGTGGTTACTATTTGAAACTATAAAAAATGCTTTATATTAGAACAATCCTAACTTAGTTTTTTTTTCCTTTTAGGGTGCCCCTCCAAGAGCTCCTCCAAAGCCAATGTAAGAAGACTGCCTAACATGTATCTTCTCAAATAAACTGTTAAAAACAATACATGTTTCATCTTTTGTTCTGACTTCTAAATGTTGTGAAATACATTCTTTGTAGAGAATGTTTATGGTAATGTGCTGATGGCTAAACAATGGCTGTAGAGGTGAAGCATGTTTTGGAGTATCACAGGAAGACTGTCCTGCAGCAGTTTAGCAATCACCAGTTTGCCATTAACTTACACCAGTAGAAAGTACAAGAATGCTTAGGCACTCCAAGATTCAGAAACTGCAATTTATTGAAGCCCAATGTTAAACGTTTCAACCTTACATGGTCTCTATCAAGCTTGAGAAAGACTGTAGGTTGAAACGTTGTGACATTGGGCTTCAATAAACTGCTGTTTCTGAACCTGGGAGTGCCTAAACATTATTGTACTTTCTACATACTGTACTGTTATTGGGACCTGGTGCTGAGTCCTGGTTTGGTTGCACCCTGGCTCAGAGTGATGGGATAGAGTGCAGGTCCATAATGTTTCTTGAAAAGGAACTTACTCCAGAACAAATCGTTCCATCCAGGATTTGTAGGTAGTCTTGTTAAATGAATAAGGCTCCACAGTTAAGTCATGGACAGATTGATCTGTTTGGGTGTAGATTAAAATGAATTTGATATGTTTGTACCAGCTGAGACACAATGTTTAATCTAACACAAGTTAGTTTTAAATGGCTTTAGGCCCTTTTATTCATAATACTATATTCTAAAGCTCCTGTGGCAAGCCCATATTTTAATATGCTTCAAAATCCCTGTGCAAGACTTTGAGCTTAGGTAACTGCCGTTGATTATTTTTCCCACTAACATTAAAGTCTAGAAGTGAATACTTGGGTTTCCTGTGATTAAATGTTTTGAGGAAAAAACAAAAACCTTACGCATACAAACTGGTCATATCACAAATACAATTTGTCTTAGTAAAATGTGAATTTGCACTTAGAGGAACATTATAGTGTTTGGAAGACAAAGCTGTATTCTGAACACTAGTGTCTCTGCCACCACCACTGACCATGTAACAGGTTAAACAAAATGCTGGTTGCCACATTGATTAAATGGTGCTTGTTCCTTTCATGTTAAAGGATCAATATAGGGTCAGGAACATAAACATATATATTCATGTCCCTATAATGTTAAAACCACCATCTAGCCCCCTTGGGCCCCTCATTCCTCCATAAATATAGCAAAATCTTACTGTATTCAAGCCTGAAGCTGCTGGCTCTGCCACTGTCTGCCTCAGCAAAACAAGCAGTCTGCTGACATCAGAAGTGGTAGCCTGATCCAATCACAGTGCTTCTCCATAGGATTGGCTGAGACTGACAAGGAGGCAGGTCAGGGGCAGAGCCAGTATGGGCGGCTGTAGGAAGCGTATGATGAACGTGCCTGGAATATAAATGAGACAATTGTCAGCAAGGATGTATACCCCCGCCTGGTACATGAAAGTAAAAGAAATGTGGTAAGTGGCCAACCAAGTGAGTTCCCCAGCAATTCCATGATCGTATGGATGATGAGTGGCATTTGTTAATGATATGACATGTGCTTAGTTGTCTGAGTAACAACGGATTGATGACCCTGACCATGATTTACCCCATGCCACAGCAGCTGCTTTTAGCGGGGAAAGGATTGCCCATTTTATGCCATGTAAGTGCCAGTTTGTAGGGTAGATGGTAGCCGTTTACTGTGTTGATGATATTGGTCTTACTTAACGAAGCTTCAACCCATGCTTGAGTGATAGCTGTAAAGGTAGATCAATGGTGTGTATAGTAAGGAAACTCCTCGGAGGGTATGAGGGAGTTGAGACTTGGGGTAGCGAAGGTGTGTGGTGCCAATAAGTCTATGGTTAGTCTTTGTTTAAGGGAAGATTCCCTTGTGACAATATCAATGTGTTTGTGTTTGGTGCCATGCTGTAAATGGTGGAGATTGGAAAACCCAAGTAAAAACCCCTCTGCAAATCTTGGCTATGAGTGTGTTTACAGCCGACGGTTCTGTTGTGCTGACTGTAAGTGAGGGCATACTATATTCTTTGAGAGTTTATTTATGATACCTGTATGGGAGCCCTTTGAAGCTCCAGAGCCTTAGTAAATCTACTACAAGTCTGGAAGGGTGATGAGTCAGTAGTGTTGAAAATGCATTGGTGTGTACAGATGGTGAGTACGTTATTTGTAAGTTGTATTGGGACACATGGTTTGTCATGTGCCCTGAATGATTTGAACATATATGCAACAGTCTATATGCAAGGCAACTACTAATACCAATTGTCTCTGGTAGTTCAGAGGTGCTGGTACCTGGAGCCTGAGAGTGCTCGCCCGTTTGTTTGGGAGAAAATCCCTTCTGGATGGGTACCTGCACAAATAAGCATCTCTACATATTCCAAATGCCAACACAACCAAGGGATGGTCAGTTCCCGATTTACCTAGAATCCCTGGGTCTGACCATCATAGATACATCATCATACATATATATGCCTTGTTTCCCCCAATGTGCTGGGATCATATGTGCAACGTTAACGTCTTGAACCAAGTAACCGAGTTTCGGTTGGTGCTGGTTGTACAGTGAGGCCCAGCCTTGTGAGGGCTGTGACTGACTCGAGATTGCCAGTCTGTCGTAAATTTTTTGGCTCATGAGTTTATGAGTGAGGCTAGCATGGCCTGGTGTCACCTGAGTTGGTGTTGCTGGGCCTTCCCCTGCTTCCGTGTTGTCCGTTGATGTATGGAGGAGTTTGAATAACTCTGCTTTCCTTGCTGTGGCAGGGTAGGGGATTTGCCGCCTCCTTAGGTCGGAGCCACATCTCCTCTGCTTGAAGGTGTATCACTTCTAGCCGGGGTGCCAGGAAGAGATGATTCTTCACCATTTTTTTGAGAAATACTTAAATAACAATAAAGATTGCAATTATTATTTGTACCCAGGGGTCTTGTACTGGCTTGCTAGCTAAGCCGTAAGGCGAAACGATTAGGCTTGGTGTTTTTGGTGACTGGTGAGGCCCTGCTAGTTGCCAAGTGGCTTGAGAGGCTCTATCTATGCTTGGCGCGAGGGGATTTTTTGTGGCCACCGAACGTTGTGGCAGGATGTTGGCCTCTCGGTGACAGTAACCAGAAAATAGGAAGGGGAGTGACAGGTGAGGCCCTCTCTATGATACAATGCGAGGCGGCTAGCTCACGAGTGGCCCGAGGGGTGTATGCCTCCGAGTGTGAGGCGGGGTGTTGGCCTCGCGGGACCACTAACCAAAGCGTAAAGCAGAGAAAACAGGAGGTAATACCTATTGGGCCATAGAACCCTAATTGCCAGTACATTACTACTATTCCAGGGAAGGTAAGAGATGAAGGTGTATCACTTCTAGCCGGGGTGCTAGGAAGAGGTGATTCTTACCATCTTTTGAGAAATACTTAAATAACAATAAAGATTGCAATTATATATTTGTACCCAGGGGTCTTGTACCGGCTTGCTAGCTAAGCCGTAAGGCGAAACGATTAGGCTTGGTGTTTTTTGGTGACTGGTGAGGCCCTGCTAGTTGCCAAGTGGCTTGAGAGGCTCTATCTATGCTTGGCGCGAGGGGATTTTGTGTGGCCACCGAACGTTGTGGCAGGATGTTGGCCTCTCGGTGACAGTAACCAGAAAAATAGGAAGGGGAGTGACAGGTGAGGCCCTCTCTATGATACAATGCGAGGCAGCTAGCTCACGAGTGGCCCGAGGGGTGTATGCCTCAGAGTGTGAGGCGGGGTGTTGGCCTCGCGGGACCACTAACCGAAGCATAATGCAGAGAAAAAAGGGGATAATACCTATTGGGCCCTAGAACCCTAATTGCCGGTACACTATTACTATTCCAGGGAAGGTAAGAGATGGATAACTACGTGAGCAGGTGTACGTACCTGGTAGTATGGTATTGAACCTGACAATCCGTATAGGTTTTTTAGTAGTAACTGTAACCTGAATGGATAAAATCGTATGGCATAAGGAAATATGGCATAGACCAAGCTTATCTTAAAACATACAGTATATGTGAAAGTAAAGTGCCGTGATATGTAAATATTAAACATCATATCCATACTGGTTAAATATGTATCAATCTTAACCCATTAAGTGCCGTATGTATGTGAACCATATTACCAGTTACGTATATACAGATGCGTGTGCTACTGTGTAATAATATGTGTATTTATAACAGATATTGATATACTGCTTGCTATGTGAATTGTTGTATGCCTTATTGAATGGCAAGTGAACATGGAGTTGCAAAATGCAAGTGCACTGGAGATCTGCCGAGTGCCCTATAGGTGGCAGTGTAGTTGATACTGATTTGTATGTGAAATGTTGTTTGTCTGTTGACCTATAGGGGTCAGTGTTTTGGTGTTTGTAAAACCCCATGAAAATTGTCAATGTACTTGACAGACCTGTAGGTGGCAGTGTTGATAGAACCACTGTTAGTGTTAATGTGAAATGTAAATTATTGTGAATTAAAACTGAAGTTGAGCCTGTGTTGGAGTTTAATTCATGGTTTATGGTTATGTTTAAAACAATCTTATGTGTAATTTATATTGGCTGGTAATTGTATATGACATGTGAAGACAGTTTTGCTGTTGACCAGTAGGGGTCAGAAATTCTGATTGTATGGTAAAATACCCTTTAACCCATGAAGGATACATGACATGAGACATATCATGATTCCCTTTTTGGTCCTTAAGGGGTTAATCCAAATGCAAGGTTAACGTGAGATTTTGAGTGACCTATAGGGGTCAGTGTGGTTTATGTGAAACATTGTTTGTGAGCTATGCCCCAGCGTTATAGTTGTGTGACAGGGAAACAAACAGTGCCCGTTTGACAATATACAATAAGTGAACATAATAGCTTAATAAGTCATTGTAACAAACCAAAGTTCTGTTCATGGTTGTAAATGCACGAAGCGTGTGTGTAGTACAATAGTAAATGCATGAACTAGTACCCGTTTGGTAGAAAATTGCACGAACCGTGAGCCTGGTATGTCAGGGAAACAAAACTAAACGAGCAGTGAGATTCGAAATGCACGCACAGAATTGCCTAGTATGTTTAGGCAATTGAAACAGAATGTGTTCCCGTTTGGGAGTATGCTAATGCTCGAAATGAGCCAGTGACAGATATAAACAAGTGAGTTTAAGCGTATGATATGCATGAACATGCAATGGTTTTAGGACAGATTTAGACAAAATGCAGCCGTAAAGTGAGGACCTGACCCGTGCATGGTGCCGTGGGACTGATGCCTGGCGTAACGGGTAGGTCGACTTACGGTTTGTGAGTCACTTGGACACCATCCACAGCGATAGATTGAAGAAAGAAGGTGGTAGGCCGGAAAAGCCTGTGGCTGAATTCCTGACACAGCTCAGCTTAGAAAACCTCATGGAGTAATCAGGTAAAATGGCATCTGGATGACCCGGAAGTGGAAATCATTCTGATGCTGACCTCAAGCGATATGAGTCAGGTAAGGGGTGTCCCTTATATAGGGGAGTGAATTAATTTAAGCCCCTCCCACAAATACAGGCCAAATGGCCTTAAAACATATATACACACACACACACAAAAGTGTCTAGGTGTATTTTACTATTAATATATATAATAATCAGATTACACTTAGACTGATACTGATTAAATATATAATTATTTATATATATTTGATATATAATATAAAAAAATTAAATATGTAAATACGTTAAAAAATAAAATTAAGGGCGTAGCCTGGACACCAACGGGAGCAGCCGCATGTAACCGAAGCTCCGCGCCAGAAGGCCTAAATTGTGCAATTGCACCGACATAACGGGCAGTATACACCCGAAAAAATTGAAATGTCTCACCCCAAGACCAAGCGGCAGGCGGCTAAGGCGGACAAATCGCAGTTTTTCGCCCCAAAACAAGCCGCTCAGCGCGACTCTGCTCTGCCGGCGGGGATCCAAGATGGCGCCGAAGAGAGCACTGAAGAAACGCACGGTGCGCCCACTGATCAGGGGCCTTTGACCCAGGCAATAATGCAGCACATGCTTGACGGCATGTCGCTTAAAATAATGAACAGTGTGC